CCCTCCTCACATAGCACATACAATTTACCCCAGAAGGGAGCAATGTACAACTGCTGCATAGAATATATGTATGTGAAAGATAATTTTATAGCAGAGCCGACACAACCATATCATATTAAACTGTAATGCTTAATTGTTGTAGTTTTACAGAAGGCTATGCCTTATGATCTTCCCAATATTTCTCTATGCTAAATTACTGAGCTTTCTACTGTATGTAGGTAACAGTAGCATAGCATTGGGGTTGTGGAGACCATTGGCGCACTCTAGTGGAAACATTTTAAAACTGCAACAACTTTGCAATAGGAAACAACTATGAATCAGCGCTAACAAATCCAAATCCAAATAAAGAGAATGAAGGTAGCAACCCTAAACAAAGGCTCCCTCAAAAGCACTTGAAGGTGATTAGAGAAAAACAAAAGGCAAAGTTGGGCTGCACCACAATGTAAGGATAAAATATAGTCTTATGTCAGTATTGTTTCAATGAGAACAGTGTCTAGATATATAGAACCGAAGTCCAATGTAGATCTCTGGATCCAGGGGATAGTGATCCTTGTACTTTTCCAAGTGTCCATATATATACATAGGGGCGATAAGAGATGAGAAAAATAATGGTGCAGAACGTTCACCAGCGTGTGGATATGATAAAGTAATAAAGTTTCACTCACATTCAATAGAGCTTAAACCAGCTCTGGTGTGTATAGCATATAGCAGTATAATCCCCACTTATGGGCTATATGGTGAGTGTTCTTTGTTGATGGAAGTATTGGGGACCCCGTTTAAATGTATTTTATTGTTTTTTTCTTTAATTAATAGATTTTGGTCACTTTACTTTTACTTGTACCAATATCTTTTATTATCTGACCTTTTTACAATGACATGGCACCAACTACTTTTATTCTCCATACCACTGATGCTATTGTCATAGAGCAGTTAGCCTGCTCTACCTTTGTAAGTATATTTTTTATTACACCTTATTAGCTATTATTATTATTTTATTGTGAGCACTATTGTTACTTATCTTTTGGGTTCCTGATACTACCATCTTTAAGAACACACCATATATCTTACCAGAGGGGATTGTACCACTGTACTCTAACCACACCTGAGCTGGCTTAAGCTGTACTAAATGTGAGTGTAACCCTATTATTCTACTATTTTATTTAAACCTTGTGGAACATACTGGACCATTACTGTTTCCGTCTTCCTACTGTTCCCTTCTCTGGGTCCCCGATACTTCCATCAACAAAGAAAACTCACCATATATCCCATATGCAGGGATTATACTGCTGTATGCCATACACATCAGAGCTGGCTTAAGCTCTATTGAATGTGAGTGAAACTTTATTACTTTATCATATCCACACCCTGGTGAACATTCTGCACCATTATTTATCTCATCTCTTATCGCCCCTTTGTACATATACGGACACCTGGAAAAGTGCAAGGATAACTATCCCCTGGATCCAGAGATCTACATTGGACTTCAATTCTATATATCTAGACACTGTTCTCATTGAGACAATACTGAGATAAGACTATCTTTTATCCTTACATTGTGGCACAGCCCAACTTTGCCTTTTGTTTTTCTCTAAATAACTTTGCAATACAGTTTTCTCTCTTCTATAAATTATCACCCCTAGATATTTTTAATGCAGCTACTGTAATCAGTTATATTGATTTATAATTTCTATATTGGTATATAATACACACACACAGGGTCGTACCTAGAGCATTTGGCACCCGGGGCGGATCCTGGGCTTGCCCCCCCCCCAAAAAAAACCTGTAACCTTTTAAAAATATTTTCCTTTTTTTTTTAATGTATTGAACAAATTTGGAAACTTTGCAAAACAGCTGTCAGCCCCCTTCTACAAAACCCTTGTGTGCCCCGCCCCTCCTACAAAACCCCTGTTCCGCCCCTTCTACAAATCCGGTACTGCCCCCTGTCTACAAAACCCCTGCAACCCCCTTCCACAAATCCCCTTATAAAGACTTCTGTCCCAATACGAAACCCCTACCCCCTTCTAGAAAATCCCTGCAGCCCCCCACACACATTTACAGGCAGACAGTCACACACACAGTTACAGGCATACAGTCACACACAGTTACAGACAGACAGTCACACATACAGTCAGAGACAGTCATGCACACAGTTACAGGCAGACAATCACATATACATTCACACACACACGGTCACAGGCAGACAGTCACACACACACAGTAAAAGGCAGCAGCAGACAGTCACATGCACACAGTCACAGACAGATAGTCACACACGGTTACAGGCAACATCAAACACACACACACACACCATTACAGGCAGACAGACACACAAACACAGTACAGGCATGCAATCACACACACACACAGTTACAGGCATGCTGTCACACACACACACACACACATACATACACAGTTACAGGCAGATAGTCACACACACACACACACACACACACACGCACACAGTTACAGGAAGACAGTTACACACACAAGTTACACACACAAACACACACACTTACAGGAAGACAGTTATACGCACACAGTTACAGGCAGACAGTTACACACACACACACACACACACACACACAGTTACAGGAAGACAGTTACATACACACACACAGTTACAGGAAGAAAGTTACACACACACAGTTACAGGAAGACAGTTACACACACACACACAGTTACAGGCAGACAGTTACACACACACACACACACACAGTTACAGGAAGACAGTTGAAGGACCACTCTAGGCACCCAGACCACTTCAGCTTAATGAAGTGGTCTGGGTGCCAGGTCCAGCTAGGGTTAACCCATTTTTTAATAAACATAGCAGTTTCAGAGAAACTGCTATGTTTATTAATGGGTTAAGTCTTCCCCCAAAGCCTCTAGTGGCTTTCTCATTGACAGCCACTAGAGGCGCTTGCGTGCTTCTCACTGTGTAAATGCTTTCCTATGCGACCGGCTGAATGCGCGCGCAGCTCTTGCACAGTGTGCGCATTCAGCCGACAGGGCGGAACGGAGGAGGAGAGAAGTAGGAGAGTTCTCCGCCCAGCGCTGGAAAAAGGTAAGTTTAAACCCCTTTCCCCTTTCCAGAGCCGGGCGGGAGGGGGTCCCTGAGGGTGGGGGCACCCTCAGGGCACTATAGTGCCAGGAAAACAAGTATGTTTTCCTGGCACTATAGTGGTCCTTTAAACACACAGTTACAGGCAGACAGTTACACACACACACACACACACTTACACACACAGTTACAGGCAGACAGTTTTACAGACACAGTCACACACACACAAACAGTTACAGGAAGACAGTTACACACACACAGTTACTGGCAGACAGTTACACACACACACACACACACACACACACACACAGTTACAGGAAGACAGTTACACACACACAGTTACAGGCAGGCAGTTACACACACACAAACACACACACACACACACAGTTACATGAAGACAGTTACACACACACACAGTTACAGGAAGACAGTTTTACAGACACAGTCACACACACACACTATTACTTACATACAGGAGCTGGAGGAGGAGCTCCTTAAGTCCTTCCCTGGAGCCTTTAAGGTGGAGAGGCAGGGATCCCTTCTTGCTGCACAGCAGCGGGTAAGGGCCGTATTAAACCCCACCCTGCTGCCGATTTGACTCCACCATGATTTTGCTTATCCCCACCCCCACTTTCATTCCGTGCGGCCAGTTCAGATGCTCTTTGCATGTGTGAGCTGTTCTGGCCACCTGGTACCCTAACTACCATGGGGCACTGGGCGGCCGTACAGCTCACACAGCCCCCTCCAGCTCCCAGACCATGGTCATGGCGCCCCCTACCTGGTGGCACCCGGGGTGGACCGCCCCCTCTGCCCCCCCTTAGTACGCCACTGCGCACACACACACATATAATTTGTTTATTTATAAAATATTTTACCAGAAAGGATACATTGATATTTTTCTTGTTTTTTAAATTTCTTTATTGATGCCTTTGCATTTTTGTCTGCAGCCATAGTTTTTACATTTTATTCTATTATCAATCAATAGCGGCTGGTGACATTTTACGTTGTTGGGGTGCTATACTTTACCCCTTGGATTTAATTCTGCCCACTCTGTTCTGATGAATAGAACTATACAGCACTATTACATTTCAAATATGTTGACAGTCCAGATATTTTAAAGGATTTAAAACCAGATAGTCCTATATTAATATTCATGAGATAACTAAATGGGTCAAGTAATTGTGCTGCATATCTCAATTATTAGAGAAGTAATATATGTAATACAGAGTTAATCCACTAGATGGCATAAATTACTTTTTAATTTGTTAGCAGTAACAGTGTACAGTATATTTACACTGTGCATATTCTAACATTCTAAATTGTGTGTGTGTGTGTGTGTGTGTGTGTGTATACAGTATCTCACAAAAGTAAGTACACATCTCACATTTTTGTAAATATTTTATTATATCTTTTCATGTGACAACACTGAAGAAATTACACTCAGCTACAATGTAAAGTAGTAAGTGTACAGCCTGTATAACAATGTAAATTTGCTGTCCCCTCAAAATAACTCAACACATAGCCATTAATGTCTAAACCGTTGGCAACAAAAGTGAGTACACCCCTAAGTGGAAATGTCCAAATTGGGCCCAATTAGCCATTTTCTCTCCCCGGTGTCATGTGACTCGTTAGTGTTACAAGGTCTCAGTTGTGTTAAATTTGGTGGTATCACTTTGACACTCTCTCATACTGGTCACTGGAAGTTCAACATGGCACCTCGTGGCAAAGAACTCTCTGAGGATATAAAAAAAGAATTGTTGCTCTACATAAAGATGGCCTAGGCTATAAGATAATTACCAAGACCCTGAAACTGAGCTGCAGCATGTTGGGCACGACCATACAGCGGTTTCACAGGACAGGTTCCACTCAGAACAGGCCTTGCCATGGTCAACCAAAGAAGTTGAGTGCACGTCCTCACAGAGGTTGTCTTTGGAAATAGACATATGAGTGCTACCAGCATTGCTGCAGAGGTTGAAGGGGTGGGGGGTCAGCCTGTCAGTGCTCAGACCATACGCTGCACACTGCATCAAATTGGTCTGCATGGCTGTCGTCCAAGAAGGAAGCCTCTTCTAAAGATGATGCCCAGGAAAGCCTGCAAACAGTTTGCTGAAGACAAGCAGACTAAGGACATGGATTACTGGAACCATGTCCTGTGGTCCGATGAGACCAAGATGAACTTATTTGGTTCAGATGGTGTCAAGCATGTGTTGCGGCAACCAGGTGAGGAGTACAAAGACAAGTGTGTCTTGCCTACAGTCAAGCATGGTGGTGGGAGTATCATGGTCTGGGCCTGCATGAGTGCTGCTGGCACCGGGGAGCTACAGTTCTTTGAGGGAACCGTGAATGCCAACATGTACTGTGACATACTGAAGCACAGCATCATCCCCTCCTTTTGGAGACTGGGCTGCAGGGAAGTATTCCAACATGATAACGAACACCAGTACATCCACCAGCTCAGTGATGTCATCATGGAAGAGCAGAAGAGGACTGCAGTGGCAACCTGTGAAGCTCTGGTGAACTCCATTCCCATGAGGGTTAAGGCAGTGCTGGAAAATAATGGTGGCCACACAAAATATTGACACTTTGGACATTTCCACTTAGGGGTGTACTCACTTTTGTTGACAACTTTTTAGACATTAATGTCTGTTGAGTTATTTTGAGGTGACAGCAAATTTACACTGTTATACAGGTTGTACACATACTACTTTACATTGTAGCAGAGTGTCATTTCTTCATTGTTGTGCCATGAAAAGATATAACATATTTACAAAAATGTGAGGGGTGTACATAAGTGTGTGTGTGTGTGTGTGTGTGTATGTATATATGTATGTATACTTGAAAACTAGATAAATCTCAAATTATCCAGGAATGATATATTGAGATTTATCTAATTTTCAAGAATGTCCTGGGCCCACAGACCTCACTGCATGAACCCACATGTTAGGCTAGGCTATAGTTAGTTATACTTATTCCATTTTTTTAATAATTATAATTTATATTAATTAGTATTGCTTAAAGTTCCTCCCATCCTCCTACTCTACATGATGCCATTAAATTGTACAATATGTCCAAAATGATTGTATTGGTCTGGTCTGTCAGTGACAGCATATCAGCCTCTCTGGTTGCATAGACATCTTCAAGCTCAGCTCAATATCTGCTGAAGCCTGCTCAGTAAAAACAAAGTAGATCCCCAGCGCTTACCAAAAGCGATCCAACACATGGCCTTGACTCCAATCCAGAAATCATGTGGGGGGACAGGTAATGGAGAAATCCCCCACAGATAAATTTGGCATATATTGTTTTGCAGAAGCAACAAACAGTGGAGCAATAGCAAATGAACTTACATTGCATGTTCTCTGCTCTGCTCAACTGCCGCCATGCTCTGCACAATTCTCCTGCTCAGGGCTGGCGCTACAATAAGTCGGCACAGGCGGCCATTTGAAGGCTTGCCCGCCCGGGGGTGCAAATGTCCGGGTGACCGGCAGGAGGGAAGCGCACAGCGATCCTCTCCTGCTGGTTATTTCTTGTAGCATGGCCGAGTGCCATTAGCTCGGCTTCCTGGCACCAGAGCAGGAGAGGCAAGCAAGGGAGCTCCGCTCTACATGCACTCGCTTCCTTTACAGCACTCATGCGCGCCCCGAATTGGTGTCTGGGAGCCTGAATGTGATATCACATTACAGCTCCCAGGACCTGTACACGGCACGTGAGTGCACAATACAGGAAGAGAGTTAATGTAGAGCGGAGCTCCCTAAGAAGAGCGCAGTGCCAGTCCACTGGACCCCAGGATCCACCACAGTTCTCCAGCAGGTAGGGAGACTGGGTGGAGTGTATTTATTCTCTAAGCCCCACCTCCCAAAACTGTCCCTCACTCCCCCACAATACTGCACCTGCCCAATAATACTGTCCCTATCCCCCACAATACTGCCCCATAATACTGTCCCTATCCCCCCACAATACTGACCCATAATACTGCCCCTATCCCCCACAATACTGCCCCTGACCACAAATACTTGCCCCATAATATTGTCCCTATCCCCCACAATACTGACCCTGATCCCAAATACTGTCCTTAACCACCACCATACTTCCCCTGCCTCTATATCCCACACAATCCTGCTCTAATCACCCACAAAACTGTCCCTGTCCCCCAATACTGTCCCTATCCCCCCTCACAATGTTTCCCTAACCTACATCAATGTTGCACTAACCACCACACAATACTGCCACTGCCCTTAATACTATTCCTACCCCCCACCATAGCCCCAGTCCCCCACAATACTGTTTCTATCCACCCACCCACCACAGCCTGTGTCTCTCCCTTATGCATATTTTTTGTTGTGAGAAATGTCTCACACACACACACACACACTTACAATGTAACATTATAAACAACTCTCAGTTTACTGAATAAGAATATACCCGGCGAGTAAAAATGCTACCCCCCCATGTTTGTGGGGGTACCTACGCCCATGGTATACATGTCTCACTTATGTTCAGTTGCTTAACCATGATTTATGTGTCTGTTCTAAGCAAACTCTCTTGATAATGTCCATAATGTGTTGATCTCTGCCTGGGGTCTTACTATTTAACTACCTACTACAGGGGTCTCTTGGGTGTATTCACTCTCTATTGACACATCATCAACCCAGCTTATTGCAACTAACATGTTTTGCCTACTTATACCTCTTTGAGCTGAAACATTTACTCTAGTTTTCAGATGGTTACTTTCATAGTTGTCTCCAGACTCAGTTCTCTTGCTCTAACCCCTGTGACTTTACTCTTACTACACTATAATTTAAAAAACCTGCAATCTAACCTTAATGCCATTCAAATGTTTTCCTATGCTTGTTAAAATGTTTGCTATACAGGGAGTGCAGAATTATTAGGCAAATGAGTATTTTGACCACATCATCCTCTTTATGCATGTTGTCTTACTCCAAGCTGTATAGGCTCGAAAGCCTACTACCAATTAAGCATATTAGGTGATGTGCATCTCTGTAATGAGAAGGGGTGTGGTCTAATGACATCAACACCCTATATCAGGTGTGCATAATTATTAGGCAACTTCCTTTCCTTTGGCAAAATGGGTCAAAAGAAGGACTTGACAGGCTCATAAAAGTCAAAAATAGTGAGATATCTTGCAGAGGGATGCAGCACTCTTAAAATTGCAAAGCTTCTGAAGCGTGATCATCGAACAATCAAGCGTTTCATTCAAAATAGTCAACAGGGTCGCAAGAAGCGTGTGGAAAAACCAAGGCGCAAAATAACTGCCCATGAACTGAGAAAAGTCAAGCGTGCAGCTGCCACGATGCCACTTGCCACCAGTTTGGCCATATTTCAGAGCTGCAACATCACTGGAGTGCCCAAAAGCACAAGGTGTGCAATACTCAGAGACATGGCCAAGGTAAGAAAGGCTGAAAGACGACCACCACTGAGCAAGACACACAAGCTGAAACATCAAGACTGGGCCAAGAAATATCTCAAGACTGATTTTTCTAAGGTTTTATGGACTGATGAAATGAGAGTGAGTCTTGATGGGCCAGATGGATGGGCCCGTGGCTGGATTGGTAAAGGGCAGAGAGCTCCAGTCCGACTCAGACGCCAGCAAGGTGGAGGTGGAGTACTGGTTTGGGCTGGTATCATCAAAGATGAGCTTGTGGGGCCTTTTCGGGTTGAGGATGGAGTCAAGCTCAACTCCCAGTCCTACTGCCAGTTCCTGGAAGACACCTTCTTCAAGCAGTGGTACAGGAAGAAGTCTGCATCCTTCAAGAAAACATGATTTTCATGCAGGACAATGCTCCATCACACGCGTCCAAGTACTCCACAGCGTGGCTGGCAAGAAAGGGTATAAAAGAAGAAAATCCAATGACATGGCCTCCTTGTTCACCTGATCTGAACCCCATTGAGAACCTGTGGTCCATCATCAAATGTGAGATTTACAAGTTGGGAAAACAGTACACCTCTCTGAACAGTGTCTGGGAGGCTGTGGTTGCTGCTGCACGCAATGTTGATGGTGAACAGATCAAAACACTGACAGAATCCATGGATGGCAGGCTTTTGAGTGTCCTTGCAAAGAAATGTGGCTATATTGGTCACTGATTTGTTTTTGTTTTGTTTTTGAATGTCAGAAATGTATATTTGTGAATGTTGAGATGTTATATTGGTTTCACTGGTAATAATAAATAATTGAAATGGGTATATATTTGTTTTTTGTTAAGTTGCCTAATAATTATGCACAGTAATAGTCACCTGCACACACAGATATCCCCCTAACATAGCTAAAACTAAAAACAAACTAAAAACTACTTCCAAAAATATTCAGCTTTGATATTAATGAGTTTTTTGGGTTCATTGAGAACATGGTTGTTGTTCAATAATAAAATTAATCCTCAAAAATACAACTTGCCTAATAATTCTGCACTCCCTGTAGCTGTTGTGGCTCTGCAAGTCAGCTTGTATACTCATGCACAACAAAAATAAAGAATTAAAAACCAACAAAAAAATCCATATATTTAAAAACTCTGGTTAATCTTGGAAAAAAAACACACTATGGGTATATATCAGAAAAGTGTGGAGGAACCAAAATATAAGGGAAGTGTGAAGGAGCCCACTGTTCTTGATGTACTTTATCATTTCTTTAAATCTGAACTGTCAGAGTGGTAGATACTGTTCTTCCTTCCACATGTGCAATTAAGTAGATTTATTCCGCTAACTGTTCATTGTTTACACATCCATCACATATTTTACTTTTGTAACAGGTCAAAAAAAAAAAATCAAATCCCATTTGTTTTAGTTTCAAAGGATGTTGAAATGATTTTAGGATATTTTGGGTGTGTTACATCCAAAACTGACATCCATTTTGATCAATCGGCTCTAGTTTTTAAGATAATGAAATTATGATTATATCCCAATACGACCCGTGGCTGCTGACATGGAGAAGAATATGATAATATCAAAATGGTCTTGCATTAGCTCTGCTATAGTGAGCACTATTGGTCTATTTGTGTGGATCTAATGATGGTAAACTTCATGCTAAGGCAGCAAAGTGGATAAACAAAGCACCTGTGTGTCATTTGCCTGTGGGATAGTAGGGCAAAGCAATATCATTTGAAAAAAAGTAACATGGCCTTCAATGGAAGACATGACTTTAGGTTCAGCAAATTTCATTAACGAGCCATTGGTTAACAGAAAAAAAAATCTTTCTCCTACCACTCATGCACTGATGAAGCAATTTGTTAAGGACTTGGGCAGAGATTGTGATTGCTTCAAATACATTTGTAGGTCATTCCTTGACATGAGTTTTGAAAAACAAACAAAAAGGGAACCCTTAATGGCCCTCAAATTTGTAAACTCATCAACATTTATGATTGATGTTGAAGCTTCTGCCTGTTGCCTTTATGCCTTAGCTGTCAAGAACTGCTTTGGTAACCACAAAGCAGACAATGTGTGATTATCTGAATCAGTTTACTTTGTTTTATATTATTATACTGAATACAGTGCTATGAGGTTTCATGTGATTCGTTGCTGGGGTATGCTTGATCATTAAATTTTTTTGTATTGTTTATGTATTTCTATAGTAACATGCATTATCCCTAAAATTAAAGACACTATACAAAAACTGATGACATATTCAGAAGCAGAAACACAAAGTTACCCTAAAATCAATCTAATATCCCACTCCCTCATTCCTCTCCTGCAACTTTAAAAAATAACCTACTCTAAGCCCTCATTGAGTATATGACGGTAGTCCCTGTCATTGGTGATGGAAGACAGACACTATGTGTGGGTCCCCAGATTCCTTTTCTGTTTTGGTCACCCTGTACCTATTATTGGTGCAGGGTATGTTGAATGTATTGCTTGTCTGTGCCTTTCCCGCCCCCCTTTTTCCTGTTATATTGTTTCCCCTGCAGGGTGTTGTCCCATGGACACTGCCAGACCAGTTTAAACTAGCTGTCCTTTTCCCTCTCAATCTCCCATCAGCCCTTGCTTGCTCTTGTCTGACCCCACCCTTGTACCATATGGCTCTATGCATCTTATTGTATGTAAATGAGGCTGTTGGGGGCATAAATATGTGTGCTTTGTATATTAAAGTCAGTTGCTGTTTTAACCTTCACCAAGTGTCATCTGGTATTTGGGGAAATGTGCTGATGGAAAGTGTGTCCAAGGCTAAAAGCACGGTAGCCTGGTCCAGGGTGGAAAAAGCCCTCAGTGATCCCAGTCAAGCCTCGGCGACTGGGTTTGAAGTGTTTGAAGTGTTCTATAGCCCATGATAGCTACGAGGAAGCAGACTTGGAGGAGGTTCTCATTTGGAGTACTGGAACTCCCTCACAGAGTACTTTTGTAGCAATCTACTTTGATACCCCTACTTTTACCTTTTGTGTCACTATACCCCACTCCCTCGAGCATGTAAGTGTCCAACATGTCTGGTTACAGTTACATGTATGTTAGTCCACCCATTGTACAGCGCTACGGAACTTGCTGGCGCTATATAAATAGTAAAATAATAATAATAATGATTGACAAAATCAGTTTTGAACAGTGATTATTTAATTTTCATTCTCTCCTTAAATTTGGGATAGTATTGCTTTTTTTTTTAGGTACAGAGTTCCACCTGATTTAGTTTGTAGATTTTGCAATTTACTTGGAATGTTTAATCACAAAGAAATTAACTTCATTAATTAATCTTATTTCCTTATTCTTGAATAATTAGTCCTATTTAGAGGCAGTTAACAGTTCGTTTGGAGCAGCACTAGAGAAAGTTGATTTCTTGAATAACTCGGAAGAAGCTCGGCAATACATCAATGAATGGATTGACAAACAGACTGAAGGTATGTATAGTCTATGTTTAGGCATGAAAATATATTTGACTCTACGCTGGATTAAATTATATGTCACTTGCAGTTTATAATATAGTTTTATTTCAACTCACTGTCAAGTAAAGGTGTAACTAAATAGGTTATAACACAAAATGTATTTCTGTATGTATTTTCATCCCTGAGCTAATATGGCTGACCAAATCGCAGCATTATCCTGGGTCAAACGAGTTCTTAACAACCTTCTGGGTCACATAAGTAAAGGAAGACTATAGGGTCAGAAACACAAAAGTGTTAAAAACACTATTTAGTTCCCTGCATTGCCCACTATATATAGTAAAATCTTACCTTATTTCCAGCGCTTCTAGGTCTGCTGGTGCTGGCTCTGCCCCCTATCCGCTTCCTTGGCTGACATCATCAAAATTGATGATCTCAGCCAATTATAATGGTTTCCTATAGGAAAGCACTGGATTGGCTGAAATTGTCAACTCTGATGATCTCAGCCAAGGAGGTGGGGTGGGGGCGGGTTCAAATGATGCTCTGGCAATCAATGCATCTCTATGGAGAAGTTCAGCATCTCCAAGCAGACCATAGAGATGCTAAACATCAGTGCTGCACTGCCCCAGGAAGCAACTCTAGTATCCGTCTGAGGAGTGGCAACTATAGATGTTCCTAGGCTGTAATTTAAACACTGCCTTTTCTCTGAAAAGGCAGTACTTGCAGCAAAATTCCTGCAGTTACATGCTGTAGACACCAGAACAACTACAATAAACTGTAGCTTTTCTGGTGGCTATAGTGTCCCTTTAAAAACTATTAGAAAATGAACATACTCCACATTATTTAGTTCTGAATCCTAGGTCACTTCTTCATTTATTCAACCTTATCCATGACCCAAGGGCAGACCTGTCAGATGCTGGTAAGTGGTCCCTCAATACAGTATGGCCATGAAAATAACAGTATCAGTGATATAAGAGGCTATACATTTCTGATACTGTGAGAGAGTGGAGAATTAATACACCAAATAATTATAAAAACGGTCTAATGTATGGAACTCTAGAAGTAATAATTAGACTTGCGCAAGGCAAATTGGCTTGTCTGAATAGATACATCTGAAAAATATTTGGTTCAGACAAATTTCATCCATGTGATTGCTACCAGCAAGTCAGTAACCAACCTCATGCTGATGAGTTGCATTAAAGGGAAACTATAGTGCTAGGAAAACAAAGTTGTTTTCCCTATAGTGCCCACCTCCACCCTTGCAGTGCAGAAGGTGTTAAAAACCCTTCTGTCACTTCCTCGACACTTCCTCAATGATTCTTGATGCTGGCTCAGTTCTGCGTCCACTCCTTGCTCTGCCAACGTCAGCTGGCGTGGGAGACCTAACGTGCATGCACAGCAATAGCCGCGCTCGCTTTAGGATTTCCCCAGAGGAAAGCATTATTCAGTGCTTTCCTATGGGGATTCCGGTGATGCTGTGAGGACGTCCAGCATCAGTTAGGCGACTTAAGTCACCTAACGATCTGGAAGCCCCTCTAGTGGCAGTAGAGAAGGAGTTAACCCATAAAGGTAATTATTGCAATAATTACCTTTTCAGAGATAAAAGTGCTGGGACACTGCACTCAGACCACTTCAATGAGCTGAAGTGGTCTGGGTGTCTATAGTGTCCATTTAATAATGAAACAGCTGCCCATGAGTTGTTATCTGGCTTAGCATCTCTTCCTGAGCTGTATTTAAAATCTGTTGTGTACAGCAGACATATACTTCAAAGTAAACATGTATAAAGTGGACTTTATGAAGCACCAAGGTGGTTCTTTGTTGAACTCATTTGCATATGGCCACCAAGAATCCCCTGCAGTAGTAGCAGCACTGCAAATATGAAATTTCTGTAGGAAAAACAAGTCTTTGTGTTTAGATATATTTGGTCTGTTTAGATATATTTTTAACAATGTATTTACAATCCACTCATTTTATAGACAGGAAGTAGATCAAATAAAGGAGAAATTCACCTCCTAGATTTTTTGTAATTTTTGTTACATGCCCAATAACAAAACTTTGTTTCTGAAGTGTGAAAATTAAATTGAAAATTTAAATCCATACTGTTGCATTTATGCCTACCCTGGAACTGAGCAACTCCATCTTGGCGGAGTTGTTATGGAAAGGCAGCCTTTGAGAGTCAGCTATAAGAGGGCACAGACAGGAAAGATGAATTAGAAAATGTTTGCTTTTCCTTATTCACTGGATTCTGAACTAAATTCTGATGTCAGAAGTTAAATTAAAATATATCTAATATAGATTACATTTTAAAAAATTAGAAAACATTTAATTTTTAAAGTTTTATTTAATGCTATAATATTGAGAGATGTAAGAGTTCCCTGCTTTGGCAGTCATAGAAATCCATATTTAAACAGGTAACTTGCTTAGATCAGTTTCTTTACATTAAGGGCTGCATAAACAAAGTGATTTAACTCCCAAATTGCAGAGAATTGAACAGTGATATTGCAGCGGTGTGATCTATACTCTAAAATTCTGCCATTGAGCTTGTTGCCTGTAGTGTCACTTTAAATATTTAAATTAATCTAAAACTGTAAATAACTCATGTGTGCCAATGGTGATTTTATAACATGACAGCAGGCTTCGTATTTGCTTAAGTCTCTCTTTACTAGAACTCCACAGCAGCTCAGAAAACAACCAATCAGAAAAAAAGTTAGGTATTATAAAATTCCCTCCCCATTGCATCATTTCCTCTTTCTTTGCTGCTCCGCAGTCAGTACAGGTCAGAGTACCACTCCCTCCTGCTCTTAGTGGGTGGCTTTGGGTTTTATTCTGATTTATATGTATTATATTTTATCATATTATGTTTTTATATATTTATTATTTGTATATTATATATATATTATTTTGTTATATACTATATATGTTATTTGGTTATGTTTTATATATTATTTAGTTTTATATTATATGTTTTATTTTATTCTATATTATCAGATTTAGTCTGGGGTTTCTACACCCTACTCCTCTTTTCTCCCCCTGCTGCTTTGAGGGGATGTTTTGCCTTACAGAGTGGGGGTTTTATGGGGGGCTTTTTCCTGGGGAGACCTTCAGTTTGCTCTCCCTTTGCCTTATCCGTTAGTTTACCCTCCCCCCACCCCACTTCCAAGCGCCGCCGGACTACGGGCGCTCTGCTCTGGGTTTCAGGAGACTAGCCATTTGGCTGCCTCCTCTGATTCCCCGAGCTCTAGTGTGAGCCTGTCGTCGCCCGTGATTTCCTGCGTGCATACGCGAGTACCCGGCCGTCGTATCCGCTCACACACGTGGCCGCCTCGCCGTGGCCGGCTTCCCTCAGACCCGAGTGCACCCGACCGACTGGGGGAGGGTGTGCCTGTTCGCTGCCCCCCACACGGTGATCGGGGAACAAGGTATTTTCTCTGGCTAGGATTCTGTCTGCTCAGATGGCAGAGCAGACAGAACACGCACCTCTATATGTGAAGGGTCATGGAATCGAGACCCAAAGGGGAGCTTGTATCTCACACACATATCGTGTGTATGAAGGGCTTATCACCATACAGGAATTTTAGGAGCTGCACATGGCTCAGGCAGAGCCAGTCCGCCAGTTAGAGCAGGACTCCTAAGTGAGGATTGTTTGTTAACACTTTTCATGCTTACCCCTTTGTATTTGGCACTAGAGGCTAATGCAATATTTTTTTGCAGAGTCCAATGGGAGTTAAACTAAACTAGGTTTAGTAAATGTTTTATGTTGCACTTTTATTTTGTGTCCTTATGTCCCAATCCCTGTGCCTCAATATATGTTCCCGGTTCACCTCTGGAGTAAGAGATGAATCCTCTTTAATGTGAGGTTTCACTGTGTATGGCAGATATAAAATCTATACAGCCCTGGCTCCGGCTCAAACTGGTATGGAGGCCAGTCTCTACTGCCATTAGTACAATTTATTTACAGTTTCTATGACTAGTAGAGTTGGAAGGTGGTTGCTTCCAAGCTCAATGGGGGGCATTGAGTGGACTATTGTTTAACCCCTTACTGTAAGATACCATAGGTACAGTACCCTTCAGGTGGTTTACTAACGGTGCATAGATCAATGAGGAAACCCCATTCAGATCTGTAGGTCCAGGCATGTCATGAGTTAATTGGTACTATATCACTGGAACCTTTTCAGCCTATACATTACAGCTGGAATACCACTATTTTACCTGCTGGACATTGAAGCACTGCTAGTCCCAGGTTACGTTAATCGCCCAGTATTATATTGTCTAAAAGGGGTTGGTGTCTAAGGGTCCTAGGTCACAGGGTACCCTGTAGATTTACAAATATTTAGGGGTCTCTAGCAAACACAGAGGTCCCCATTACTCATCTACATGCAGCCCGCTACATTTATACCCCATGGATTGGCCTGCTATGTCTGTACCCCATTGATTGGCCTGCTTTGTCTATGCCCCACTGACTGGCCTGCTATCTCTGTGCCTCACTGACTGGCCTGCTATGTCTGTGCCCCATTGTTTGGCCTGCTATGTCTGTGCCCCATTGATTGGCCTGCTATGTCTGTGCCCATGTGATTGGCCTGTTATGTCTGTGCCTTTCGGACTGGCCTGCTCTGTTTGTGCCATTTGTTCGGCCTGAGCTATCTGGGCCTGAAATCCCTTTTGGTCGTAGGCCTGGGAGAAAAGCCCAGTACCCACTATTGACATGGTGATAGGTGGGTGTCCAGGCAAGCACTGCTGCCTTACAATCTAAGAGGACACCAGTATATGGGCACCTCAATATGATTGGAAGGATGAAGACCCTACACCTCATACCCTGAGGGGCAAGTTTTTTTTTTGAGAATTCCCGGGCTCGCAACCACGGTTTACACCTACCTGGGGCGGCACATCTCCAAAGAGAATTTCGCACAAACAGGGACCGGTACTCAGACCCCAACAGGGGAGCACAATTGCCTTGCCTTCAGCAACTAGCCATTTAGCTACAGTCCCGGTATCCATCTTAGGTATCTTTATTTAATCCTACGTTATGTTTAGCTCCTGACCCTTTCAGTTGGGTTTACCTGACTTGCTGTTCCGATCTGCTATTTACCTGCCCTCCGAGGTACATATTTACTGTTATCTACATTATTTGTCGTTTATAGGTTTTCGAGCCTTCCAATTGTCCTATCGCTCGGGTCATCGAGAGGCCTGCCTTGACCTCCTCCGACCTCCCGGGCTCTCGTGGATTGCGGAGAACGTCTCCAGCTTTCCTCAGGCTACAGACGGTCATCCTGGACCCCCCGCATGCGCACATGATCCGGGCGGTCAGTTGGTAGTTTCCATCATTGCTTCCGAAGGTTACATTTTCTCACCATCCCTTTCTGTTATTAAGGATGGACGGCTGTATACTATTCCATCTTCCATCGGTCCGGTTTATTGCCAGTTGATTTCACCTCAGGTGAGCGATTCAGAGAGAGGTCTCGTGGTCAGTGAGAGACCCACCTCAAGATCTCAGTCTTATGCGGATGTAGACCCTACTGTTTGGTTACGAACGGGTGCGGCCCGCTCAGGTGATCAGCTGGACGCTGACACGGAGTTCGGTCACATTATTAGAGAGCGCGGCTCTCTCATACACTCAACGCACTATGGTGCCGTCCATTTGTTAATCACACAGGCTTGTACCTATACAGGACAACGATGAATGCATAGAGGGGCATCCCTCCTGCATTCAATTAGATCTAACGACCGTGCTACCAATGTCGTTATAAAGGGCTGCCTGATCATGCAGGATATATATTTAGACTGGATCACTCTATTTCACCTTCTGTAATGAATCTACTGGATCCGCACCACTGTACCCCATGCAAGAAATACTCAGATGTATAACAAGGGGAGACTCCCGCTTATTTACACACTCCTGGAAATGGTACGGCTAACGGATGAACCTCAGGTATTACAAGAGTGCAGGTTTGGTATATTCTGCGCTATATAAAACAGACAATTGCATTCTGCCTTACATATTCGGACCATTGCGAACAAACTGCACAGACAGTTTTTCCCATATCAAGATGACAGGAGATACTGAGACCTTCATGGAGCAAACGGGCACTGCCTTGCTCAGGTGACAAGACTAGGGAAGGCCCACTACCCGGTCTTCAGGTACACCGTTCGCATGGAGAGACCGGAACCCCGGTTGACTTGAGTTCCCGGGTCATTACATATCTTTGGATAAGATGACAGGACTGCCCCTACTCCTCTGAACACATACCTGGAGAACACGGTTCGGAGATGGAGGTCCCTCCGTCTATACTCTATACCCCTCATGGTAGCCGTTTGGTTTCTCGCTAACCCACTTTTTCAACTACCATCAAGGAGACCTACGGGACTTTATGGAGAAACCCAGTGTGCCCCGACGTCAAAGTCGGGGCGCAACCTACCACCGGAGTACTGCTCAGGGTGTAGCAGACTCGGATAGGGCTGCCGACACTCTCAAACGGGACATCACATGATTCGGACGGTTGAAGCTAGACCCTTGTTTTACATTGACTTTGGTTATCAAACTCACATTCCTGGATCCCTTAAACTAGGGCCTACTCTGGGAGATACATGCCCGGACAGTCAGGGGTACCATGATCTAGGTGGTGTGTAGACCAGGAACCCCTACACGAATCTTGACAGGTCGGGCATGGTTTAGGATCGTACTACGGGCAAGCGGATTATTTCACTCTTTCACTACAGCACGTGAGGACTCTTTGTTGTTATACAGGTCCCAATCAACATTGGATCCGTACATCTTATTACTCTTAGACGATGACCTATCTGGATGGAGATCTCAACTCCGGTTTACGTTTCCCATCCCTCTGAATATTTCCGGGATTCACTATCCCCAGAATAGTCGACCACCGTTCCAACACACAAGTTCAGTTTGGGACCCTGATTGGACGTCCTTTTGGTGTCCTTTCCCTACCGCAGCCGAGGATTACACAGTCCATTTGGAATATTGGAATCACTTAGGATACGGCTAGTCGACCACACTCTTGCCTGCATAATAAATTTATTGTTTGATGAGACATCTCACCGGGTAGACATGAGGGAATGAAAGATCCTGCTCGGTTCTATTACGGAATTGGTGGTGGACTTGGGCGCATTCCTTGAGAGTGGAGATCTACCTGCAATGCCACATCGCCAGGTGACCCTGGCATGATCGGAGGAACCACCTTACACATCAAGAGTTGCGACATGGTGGCAGTTTCGTCTCACGGCCCTAAGTCCATAAATGGCCTTCGACATTTTACAACTACAGGAAAATGGCTAATAGGGCAGCTTGGCAGCTCATGCACCGGCTGCTAGGAAACAGGTCACAACCCCACGTACAATGGAGCTATCAACAGATGGTGTTTTTTCCGTATTTGGGATGCTTCGTCAGCTGGCATCCTCATCGACCCGTCTACTGGCACTTCTCGCAGTTGGAAAGTCCATTTAGGATTGCTCGGATATCTCCTGGAAAAGGTACCAGCGAAACAAATAGCGTTGGATTTGTTGACTGAGCGTTAAAACAGCAAATACGAAGCCTCCTGTCATGTTATAAAATTGTAGATTATGCTAGCTTTAGTGTACCTATAATCTTAATTTTATTAATGACAGGAGGCGAGTATTTCCCACCCGTTCTTATCCCTCCCTTGTTTAATTTTAATAGTTGGATTAATCAGGTATGTATACAACTCTGCTTGTTGTCTCTGCTACCTGTCACCTGTCCTTATGTCTGTTTTTCATAAGTAGGGTTGGGATATCTACATAATTAAGGTAAATTTGGTTGCTACATTGGGTACCTACAGGTTTATTCAGAGTACATTTCATTGGATAATCAACCTGTTCGATTCTGTTTTTCTCTCGTTTAATTTTACAGTCCATCAACGCTATCTGGTGTGGCAATTCTTCTCGGATGGTGGACATAGACTTATTTATTTTACAGTCCATCAACACTATCCGGTTTGGCAGTTCTTCTCAGATGTTGGACATTGCTGTTTTCATTGTATCTAGGACTTTGTTTCTTCACATTATTTTTTCTGCCTTTGTTCTGTTTTATCGCAGCTTGAAAGAGGAAATGATGCAATGGGAAGGGAGTTTTATAATACCTAACTTTTTTCTGATTGGTTGTTTTCTGTGCTGCTGTGGAGTTCTAGTAAAGAGAGACTTAAGCAAATACTCGCCTCATGTCATTAATAAAATTAAGATTATAGGTACACTAAAGCTAGCATAATCTACAATTTTTGTTTGAAAATCTCAGCAAACCTTAGGTTTAAGGATTGATATATTTTTTTTTCTTCCAAAAGGAAAAATCAAGGAATTATTGCCAGAGGGTTCTGTCTCACTAAATACGGCCTTGGTAATTGTCAATTCTATGTTCATATTTGCAAACTGGACAAAACAATTTGATGTTAGAAACACCAATAAGAGACCCTTCAAGCTGATATCGGTATGTAAATAATAGTAGTCACCAAATTTAAAAATGAAAATTTTATTGTAATATATAATTTTATACTGAACCACAACATTTAGTAATTAAAAACAAGCATTTTGAATGTCATCTAGTGAAAACATTTATGTAACACATCAATTGATATACACTGCTCAAAAAAATAAAGGGAACACAAAAATAACACATCCTAGATCTGAATGAATTAAATATTCTTCTGAAATACTTTGTTCTTTACATAGTTGAATGTGCTGACAACAAAATCACACAAAAATTAAAAAATGGAAATCAAATTTTTCAACCCATGGAGGTCTGGATTTGGAGTCACACTCAAAATTAAAGTGGAAAAACACACTACAGGCTCATCCAACTTTGATGTATTGTCCTTAAAACAAGTCAAAATGAGGCTCAGTAGTGTGTGTGGCCTCCACGTGCCTGTATGACCTCCCCACAACGCCTGTGCATGCTCCTGATGAGGTGGCGGATGGTCTCCTGAGGGATCTCCTCCCAGACCTGGACTAAAGCATCTGCCAACTCCTGGACATAATTCCTTTAGGATTGTTTCGTCCAGTCTGTGGTGCAACGTGACGTTGGTGGATGGAGCGAGACATGATGTCCCAGATGTGCTCAATTGGATTCAGGTCTGGGGAACGGGTGGGCCAGTCCATAGCATCAATGCCTTTGTCTTGCAGGAACTGACACACTTCAGCCACATGAGGTCTAGCATTGTCTTGCATTAGGAGGAACCCAGGGCCAACTGCACCAGCATATGGTTTCACAAGGGGTCTGAGGATCTCATCTCGGTACCTAATGGCGAGCACATGGAGGGCTGTGCAGCCCCCCAAAGAAATTCCACCCCACACCATTACTGACCCACTGCCACACCGGTCATGCTGGAGGATGTTGCAGGCAGCAGAACGTTCTCCACAGCGTCTCCAGACTCTGTCACATGTGCTCAGTGTGAACCTGCTTTCATCTGTGAAGAGCACAGGGCGCCAGTGGTGAATTTGCCAATCTTGGTGTTCTCTGGCAAATGCCAAACGTCCTGCACGGTGTTGGGCTGTAAGCACAACCCCCATCTGTGGACGTCGGGCCCTCATACCACCCTCATGGAGTCTGTTTCTGACCGTTTGAGCAGACACATGCACATTTGTGGCCTGCTGGAGGTCATTTTGCAGGGCTCTGGCAGTGCTCCTCCTGTTCCTCCTTGCACAAAGGCGGAGGTAGCGGTCCTGCTGCTGGGTTGTTGCCCTCCTACGGCCTCCTCCACATCTCCTGATGTACTGGCCTGTCTCCTGGTAGCGCCTCCATGCTCTGGACACTACGCTGATAGACACAGCAAACGCGGAACAGGAGTTTCTGTTTCCTGTACCCGGTCGGACTGACAGGAAGGTGCACACTGAGCGTGCACCTTCCTATCACTCCGGCCGGGCACCACGGACAGCAGAGCGGCTCGGCCACGCTACAGGGGAGGGGGGTAAGAAGGGGGTAAATAGAGGGGGAAGGGGAGGAAAGAAGAGGAGGGGGAGTAAGAAGGGGAGGGTAAGAAGGGAGGGGAGTAAGAAGGGGGAGGGTAAGAAGAGGGAGGGGCAAGAAGAGAGGGTAAGAAAGGAGGTAAGAAGAGGGGAGGGAGAAAGAAAGGTAAGAGGGGAGGGAAGTAAGAAGAGGGGAGGGGAAGCAAGGGGGAGGGAAGTAAGAAAAGGGGTAAGAAAGGGAGGGAGTAAGAAGGGGTAAGAGGGGGGAGGGAGAAGTAAGAAGAGGGGAGGGAGTAAGAGGGGGGTAAGAAGGGGGAAGGGGAAGTAAGAAGAGGGGGTGGGGGGGTAAGAAGTTCTTTATTTGAAATTTAAAGGACCACTCTAGGCACCCAGACCACTTCAGCTTTATGAAGTGGTCTGGGTGCCAGGTCCCTCTAGGATTAACCCTTTTTTTTATAAACATAGCAGTTTCAGAGAAACTGCTACGTTTATACTGAGGGTTAATCCAGTCTCATTGACAGCCGCTAGAGGCGCTTGCGTGCTTCTCACTGTGAAAATCACAGTGAGAGCACGCAAGCGTCCATAGGAAAGCATTGTAAATGCTTTCCTATGCGACCGGCTGAATGCGCGTGCGCATTCAGCCGATGACGTTGCGAGCAAGGAGGAGAGGAGGAGTACAGCTCCCCGCCCGGCGCTGGAGAAAGGTAAGTGTTTAACCCCTTCCTCTCTCCAGAGCCCAGCGGGAGGGGGTCCCTGAGGGTGGGGGCACCCTCAGGGCACTATAGTGCCAGGAAAACGAGTATGTTTTCCTGGCAATATAGTGGTCCTTTAAGTTTTTTTTCCCTGAAATTTCCTTCTTAAAATGAGGTGCGTGTTATACGCCGGTGCGTGTTATACGCCGATAAATACGGTATGTGATTTAAGAGATTTATGAAGCAAGGCTATCTGTTCTGAATCATTAGGAAGGCCTTTTATATGGCATTGAATACAGAAAGGTCAAGAATAATTTGGGAGGATTAAGGAGAATTGGGCATTAATGACAAGGAAGATTATGGGTGCTAAGATTGTGTGACTATTTATAGTCCACAATGTAATAATATTAAACAGATTATTTTGAGATATCTAATGATTTTGACTAATGATGGCACTTCATGCCATTTTTTTTATCATTCATAAGGACAATTTGTAAAGTGAAAATAAAGTTCCACTATCTTAATTTGATATGATTCTTTGAGTTTGGTTTGTGGAGTGTGGTTTGAGTGTGGATATCTAGCAATTGTATATTATTAGATGTAGTACATTAAATGTGAATGCTGTCATTATTTCATTCTCTCTTGTGTTTCAGAATAAAGACATCAATGTAGATACGATGTTTATGATAAACAAGTTCAATATTAACTATATAGAAAATCCTGGAATATCAGTCCTTGAACTTCCATATGGGACAGACAAATACCTTAGTATGTTTATACTGCTTCCTGATAACAACACAGTGTTTCATATGGTAAGTTACCCAGGAGGATGGTTGTGGATGATTTAAAGGACAATTTGAAGCAGAGGTTTTAATTGTAACTTGAAAATTACCAATATATATATGTTTTGTGGGAAATGGCATTTGTCATATTTTGGGTCATGGTAAGTGTTTAACTTTATATCAGACCCTACACTGAAACTCACAATCACCCCTGTGCTGATACATATCACACATGATATATGTTTTATTCTGAGTTATATATTATATTTAAATTAAATACTTGTGTATAGGATTGGGCCAAAATATAAACAAAAGTACAAGTAGTGTTAAAATTAAATAAAAATCCCAATGTATTAGTTGAAACATAGGATTGGGGCAAAACACAATTCTGCTTGGATCCAACCACAAAATGCTTTCCCCTTTTTCCTTCTGATGCAAAAAAAACTACATCTCATGAAGCAATGCCCACACAATCCACTTCTCATTTTCATTACAACAAATTAAGGAACATTTTGTCACTTCATCTGCTGTCCCCACAGTTGGTCACTCCTTCCTCATTAAGAGCTATCCACATCCCTAGAATTTCCTCTTGTAATGTTCTTCCAGTTCATCCCACAGTGCCATTTCCCATGATCATATACATCCAATTGATCTCCCAGCCATATTCTCAGATGAATTGTTCAACATCCATATTCACGATTTGTTTACCCCAGAAACATTCCCCTTATTTATTACCACAGCCACAATTATGCCATGCAATGTTCAACAGCCGTATTACCCAAATAATTGCGCCAATTATATCCCACCAGTGTAATCACCTCCTATTCCCACCTTCATTCTGTTTGCTTTAAATATCAAGGCTGTGCGATTTAGCTTTATTTGAAGAAAACCCATACCATGTGCCAATTATATCAGTTACATAGTTACACCTTAATTGGTACTTTATTGGAACCCCCACTAGCTATATTAATAATTTGGAACTGTATAAAGTCATAAAGTGTCCTCCTTTTAAAATAGACCTTTTTTTGCATGTTTGTTTATGTCCAGAGAAAAGCATATATTTTCCTTCTTTAAAGTATCACCAAATGTCTTTTATACTATTTTCCCGAGGATTTGCTTTATCAAAATGTTTGGATCCATGTGGCAACTTTACCAACAGAGGGCAGCATGAAGTCTTCCAAACAACATTTAAATATCTGGTGGCACTGAGCGAGTCAACGCTCAAAAGAGATTTACCAGGGCAGGGGTTAGGATCTGCAGACTACTTCCTTATCAGGGTACTAGGAACAAGCAGATTTTACCTTACAATTTCCAAATAAAATCAAACTATTATGCTTACAATACAGACAACATTTTGTATATATAAAAAATAGATGTACACATATAAATGGTGTTAAAAGCTGTAGTACTAAATGTTCAATATTACACACAGATATCTCTAATGTCTTCCTCCTGCAGCTTGATAAGGAAATATCCTATGAGAAATTGACTGACTGGACTAGCAATAACAAAATGAAGTTTCTCAATATGGCGGTTCATCTGCCAAAATTCAGAATAGAACAAGGCTTCTCCATCCGAAATGTCCTGTCATCATTGGGGCTGACTGATCCATTTAATGAAAGTCGAGCAAATTTCTCACAAATGACAGATCGTGATAATTTATACATGTCTGACGTACATCACAAGACATTTGTTGAGGTGAATGAAAAAGGGACTGAAGCAGCCAGTGCTACAGCTGCTGTAATAAATTCGCGCAGTGGGAATAAAGATGAATTTGATGCAAATCACCCCTTCCACCTATTCATACAAGAAAAGAAAACACAATGCATATTAATGTATGGGAAGCTGTACAAACCTTAAATATGTGGCATTTCAAAAGCCCACTCATGATAAAATAGGCCGAATTCTTCATAGGTTGTATAATGTATGCATTTTAATGGATCATATCTATTATTAGTCACAGATTTATGGCTGTGTATGCACTTTTAAAACATATGCTGGCACAGTTGGCATAATTAAAGGGAAACTATAACTTCTCAGGATTTTTAAAAATTATGTTTACTTCCTTATAATTAAAAAAATACTAATTTTTTTAAGTGTTAAAATTAAAATGAAATGTAGAAACCCAGACCTCTTCATTCTGTTACTGTGTGCCTCCATCTTTCCTCCTGTCAATCATTGTTATAAACCCTGTCCTTCGTATCTGGTAATCAGGTTGGAGAAACATTACAGTAAAGAGGAGATATATAACAATGTAACTATTTCTTCTCCTCATTTGCAGTGTGTGCCAGGACTATGTCTGGACTGTGGTGTAATTTGGTTATTTTTTAATATAAATTTAAGAGAATAAACCTCAACAAAAGTTCTAGGTGATTTCTGAAGTAATTTCTATGGAAGTGATATTTCCTCTTTAAATTAATTTCATAATGTCAGATTTATAATATAATAGAAAATGCATTTAATTCACATATAAGTTAGAATGATAGTTTTATGATTACTGTATATAATTTCTTATATTAATAAAGTCATAAAAATATCAAATTTTTCACAGAATTGCTTTTGTAAGATTTCCCACTGGCAGTTCATTATTATCTCTATTATTTTATGTTAAAGAAAATAAATAATGCATTTGTAGAAATACTGCAAAACTTGTTCTTGTTCTCACACTGGTATCTATAGTTGATTAAACAGGAAGAAGTTTAACTATATCAAGAAGACGGTGATATAGCTATGTGGGCTAATGCATCATCAGCTTAATCTGTTCAACCCAAGGGGGTCGCAGGGTGGCAGGGTTGACGTATCCCTTCATCCGTCTGAGGTAGATAAAAGTAGTACCATTAAATTGGGTAATAGTAACATCAGGGCTGGACTGGGAACTAAAAGCAGCCCTGAAAAAAAATTCTATACCAGCCCAATAATGCGTCGCACCAGCATAGTGTGCTGATATAGAGGGTGAAAAAATAACTTAAAATTGAAAACTATTACTCCAACGAAAGAACGCATATAGGGCTTCAAAATAAACAAAAGATCGCCTTTATTTTAAGTAGACGTACATTTGCATGTAATCAATGTTTCAGTAAAACTACCTTGACATATTAAGGACATTTTAGTAATGGGACTGAAATGGTAAATGTCTACGCTTGCACAACTGAAAAAATATGAAGATATCTTGTTCATTTTGAAGTCCTATGGGTGCGCTCTTTACTTTGAATAGCCAATACGTGCTCCTTACATATATGTATATATTAATGACATTTATGTGTGTATTATGCATATATAAATGTATATTAATATATGTGTAAATATTATAGGCATAATTATGTTACTAATACACACATCAGTATACATGCATATATATATATATATATATATATATATATGTGTGTGTATTACTGTCAGGATCACATCAATTACGTCTGTTACATTTACCTCGTTTAGTGTATCTTGTCTCCAATTGTCTCTTACAGCGACCCTTGTGTATCTTTTACTTCATCTCAGTCCCTGTGTGTTTCTTTTTACCCTTCTCCAGCCTCTGTATGTCTCTTTCCCCCAGCCCCTTATGTGTATGTCTTAGCCCCAGCCCCTTTGCCTCTTTCTCCCCTTCCAAATCTCATCTGCGTATCTCTTTCTAACTCTAGACTCTGTGTGCCTCTTTCTCTTCTCCCAGCCACTCTGTCTCTTTTTCCCCAGCCCAGCGTTGCCTCCCACAAATCTTGTGTGTCACTTTGTTCCCCTTCCCTTCTGTATGTCTCTTTCTCCCCTCTCCTCCCTGTGTCTCTCTTCCCCATCTCCTCCCTGTGTCTCTCTCTTACCCCTCTGTCTCTTTGCCCCCCTTCCCCTGTCTCTATTACTCCTTTGTTTCTTTTGTCTCCCCATCCCATGTGTCTCTCTATTACCCCTCTGTCTCTTTGTCCCCCCTTCCCTGGTGTCTCTCTATTACCCCATCCGTCTCTGTGCCCCCTCTTCCCCTGTGTCTCTCTATTACTCTCTTTATCCACCATCCCTTGTGTCTCTCTATTACCCCTCTGTCTCTTTGTTCCCCCCGTCCCTGGTGTCTCTCTATTACCCCTCTCTTTGTCTCCCTTCCCCTGTGTCTCTCCCTTACCCCTCTCTTTTTCCCCTTCCCTGTGTCTCCTCATTACCCCTCTCTTTGTCCCCCTTCCCCTGTGTCTCCTCATTACCCTCTCTTTTCCCCCTCTTCCCTGTGCCTCCCCATTACCCTTCTCTTTGTCCCCTTCCCCTGTGTCTCTCCATTACCCTCTCTTTGTCCCCCTTCCCCTGTGTCTCCCCATCACCCCTCTCTTTGACCCCCTTCCCATGTCTCTCTCCATTACCCCTTTATTTGTCCCCCCCTTCCCCTGTGTTTCTATGACCCCTCTTTTATTGTGTCCCTGTTGACCTTGTCACAGGAGGACTGAGGGAGGGGGCAGAGCTAACTACCATGCTCCCTCGTGCTTCCCATAATTTCCAGCATGGACACATCATAGAGTAATCCCTACTCTATGATGTGTTCATGCTGGGAATTATGGGAACCGTGTGGGAGCATGGTAGTTAGCTCTGCCCCCTCCCTCAGTCCTCCTGTGCTGACCGCTATACTGCTGTCAGTATCAGTGAGTGTGCCACTGGACCAGTTAGGCGGCTGCAACGGCACACTCACTGATACTGACAGCAGTACAACTGTCAGCACAGGAGATGGGGCCGCCAGCCATAAGGTAAGTAACTCCTTCAGAGTGTGCCGCCGAACTGGTCAGTGGCCGTGATATTATTAAAAATGGCTGCAAGGCTCCCTCTCTATAGGGAGTAAGAGCTCTGCAGCCCCCAGGTGCTGCGGCCCACCGGGAAATTTCCCAGTATCCCGGTGGGCCAGTCCGGCCCTGAGTAACATCTCCTGGATGTTGGAAAAAAAATAACATCCCCAGAACGTGCTTGTAAAATAAATGTACCTTTTCTGGTTAAATACTTTGTTAATATTTCTGCAGACCTATATTAATTAATGTAAGAAGTGTATGGATCAAGTTGTGTGGAATACAAAATAAATAAAAATGTATAATTAATATTTTAAAAATAAAATATATTCTTAACGATTATGCTAAAATTTCTCACAATAAACTGTATTTAAATGATAAATTTTACTGATATGATTAAACTGAAAGAAAACACTGTTTCCTGGTGTCTCCAACAAAAGCAGAACAAGAGGAGCTCGGTCACGCTACAGGGAAGGGAAGGTGAGAAGAACATGCGGGGGGAGTAAAAAGAACATAGGGGAGTAAAAAACATAGGGAGGAGGAGTAAAAGAAAATGGGGGAGTAAAAATAACATAGGGGGAGGGGAGTAAGAAGGACACAGGGAGGGTGAGGGGTGAGTAAGAAGGACACAGGGGGAGTAAGAAGGACACAGGTGAGGGAAAGGGGGAGTAAGAAGGACACGGGGAGGGGAGTAGGAAGGACACAGGTAAGGGGTGAGGGGAGTAAGAAGGACACAGGGAGGGGAGGAGGAGTAAGAAGAACATAGGGAGGGGGAGCAGTGGTGTATCCTGGTTTTGTGCTGCCCTAGGCAGGAGAGGGGTGAGGAGAGAAAGGGAAAGGGGGGAGAAGAGACCGGTAGGGGAGGTTGGGGGGAGAGGAAAGACCACTAAGGGGCAGGGCAGAGCTCTAAGGGATGGAAGAGAGAGCTCTATAGGACAGGGGGCAGGACAGCTCTTTCACACTACGCGCACAGCAGTTTTAGATAATTTGCACATATTTGTGAGAACTGAAAAATGTTCATGTGAGTGAGTGTGTGTGTGTATTTTAAGTATGTTGTGCACTTTTTTAATGTATATTTTATTTTATGGTACAGTGGTGTTTTTTGCAAATGTTCAATTGCTGAAAATGTTCAAATTTTGGGGGGCCTCCATGTCCATTTTGCTTGGGGCCTCCAAATTCCTTCAAACGGCCCTGGATAGTGTAAAGGATAACATTTGCGTTGAGATCAGGGTAGGCTTATGGTTAGCTTACTTGTAGGGAGGCTTTTAAGCATAGGGTTAAGGGAAATGTTGGGGCAGTGTATAGGGTAGGATTGGCATATTGTCTACAACCCTGACATTTCATGCTTCATAGGAAATGTTTGTATGAATTGCTTTGGCTTCTCTCCTGTGGTAGCTGGTGAAATTTAAATTTGGTTGGACACTGACTTTTTGGGCTATCCCTATTTTAACCCATTTACCTAAAACCTGGCCCATTGAGACATCATGCCTGTATTTAGAAAACAACATTGACTTTTAAAAGGCTCAACTCCACTCCCTGCTATTAATCAATAGTGGGGGGATTTAGCTACAAACATACCAAGATACCCAATAGCTCCACCGAAGATGCTTAAGACAGATGACTTTTTCTGCTCCAACAAGTGTGACAATTTAAGGCCTAGCCAAGATGCCATTTCGAAAGTAGTGCGAAAAAATAGCAAACTCAAACAAGTACAATTGTACATATGTGGGGACTTCAACTGTGTAATAGATCCAATTCTGTATGTGCAAGGTAAGACTATGGTTTCTAATAAGAAAACCCAACAATGCATGAGATTAAGTAAACTACTTAGCACACATGACCTCTTTGATGCATGGTGCATGCTATACCTGAACTCAAGAGATTATACTTTTTTTTTTCCAATGATCATTCCATGTATTCCAGAATTGACCTCTGCCTGACATGTAGAGTTGATAAAAAAAAAAAAAACCTAAAAAAAAATAAATAAATACGCACAAACCTATCCTATCTCCAAAAGAGGGAGTGAAAGTGGCCAATCCCTTGCAGATTTTGGAAAACTGTGTTAATTAATCTAAAACCCTTTATAACCTACGGGCAAATCCAATGACAACACAGCCTTCTCAGAAAAACATACAAGCTTTCCTTAACCCCTTAAGGACCAAACTTCTGGAATAAAAGGGAATCATGACATGTCACACATGTCGTGTGTCCTTAAGGGGTTAACAAAATCCAACTACCACAAGTCTCATAACAGATAGATGATGCCATTAAATCGTTCCCAAAACACAAAGCTCCAAGCCCCGATAGTTTCACTAACTTTTATTATATAACATTTGCAAATTTTAAGTCCCATACCTAACAAACGTATTCAATATCATTATGGCCACCGGCAATATTCCATCTGAAATGCTGAAGCAATTACAATAGCTTTACCGACACCAGGCAAGCCTACAACTAAATACAAAAATGTACTCCCCATATGGTTGCTAAATGCAGATATGAAACTCCTTGCCAAACTTATTGCAAATAGGATTAAGCCTCAGTTATCCTCCCTGATTTCAAAGGAACAAGCAAGGTTTGATCCTAGCCGCAAGGCGGGAGGCAACACCAGGCGCTTTTTGGACCTTATGAAAACTATGCGAAAAACAGACAGGGCTTTTGATGGTGCTAGACTCCGAGAAAGCCTTTACAGAAGTTCAAATTTCCTCACAACCTCTTAAAAGCGATTCTTGCTTTATAATCTAAACCTTGGGCCAATGTTCTAAACACAGGCTTACTATCCTGTAATTTTGGTCTGACCAATGGTACTAGGAAGGGTTGTCCTCTTTCACTGTTAACATTTATCCTCGCACTGGAACCTCTGGTCAGACACATACAATCAAACACCTGCATAAGCAGTTTGTCCATCCAAGCAGGCAATTAGATGATAGCACTATTTGCAGACAATATCCCAATCCTCTTAAATAAACCTTGTGAGTCTTTGCCGATATTGATGGATTTGTTAAATGCTTATGGAACAATTTCCTATTACAAAAATAATACAACAAAAACCCAGGCGTTGCCAGTTAATATGACTACACAAGATAAATAATCCCCCATGGATCCCTACCCTTTTGATTGGAGAGACAAAATATTATATTATATATGTTATATCGGCCCTCCACTGGACACAGCAAAGATATGAGGCAGCACCTGCTAAAATTGTAGCCCAGCTTTACACACCATGATGGCGGTTATGTATACCTCCTGTGATTTTGGGCCTGGTTCGCAACCCTGCCTAGACCACCAGAACCCAGTTGACCGACTATTACAGAGGCTGGAGAAACACTTTGATCAGTTCTGGGCCTCATTGGAGGCAAGTCAGTTGGCAACGTCATCACAAGAAGTTAGCTGTGGGAGCGGAATCTGGGCTGCGGATGGGCCCCCTCCGGGCAACCAACAGCGTGCTGCATGAAGGTCTACCACTGCCAGCCCACCAAAGCCAAGGGCCAAGAGGGGCAAGACCCTGAGGCATTACTCACAAGGACAGAAGAGCTACCACTATTTGCGGCATCATACCACCCAAGCTTTCTGCCTCTCCCCAATGGAGGTGGACAGGGACTCTCTGCGGGTTCATGTCCGTGGCGCACAGGTGCTGGCCTACAAACTGGCCGAGGGTTCGTAGCACTACCCCCAGGATGCCACTGCCTGCTAGATTCCACACTTTCATGCTTTATACTTCCCGGACCTGGGAATAGGCTGACTGGTCATCAACCTGCATAGTTACTCCCAAACATGAGGTTTAAGTTAATCACTTGATGTGAGTACGTGATGTTTGTTAATCTTAAATAATGAATTCATGCCATTATTCATATATAGAATTTGCAACCTGCTACTTACATTTTTCCATGCATGTCTCAGTCATTGATTACTTTTTAAAAAAATGTGTGCCGTTACTCATGACATGTTGTGTTTTCACTTTTACCCTGAAATTTCAAGCTATGTTTCCCACCAAAGGTCGCTGTCAATTTGTGTAAATTATGTTGCACACCAAAAAATAAAGAATGTAAAAAAAAAATCATAATAATGAGAAGTTAAAATGTTTCCAGAGATAATGCTTTCTATTTGCTACACTTAGAGAGACCCAATCCTGATTACCCAAGAAAATTTCAAAATGTGGTTATACTTTGTCATTTGAATGCAGGCAATATTATGCTTGATTATAATATGTTGGACTGTAGTCTGGATGTTATTGTTATATTTACTTTTGTTTTGTTATACCTTTTTTATGAGATCAGCCGTCACAAGAATGTTGTAATGGCGAACAGACTTCGGTAATTTTACTAAAGCAAAATTGGTAATTGTTTATGTGCAAACTCACAGATATTCATGTATTGTTAAGCTCAGATGTACATGTTTACTAAATATGCGGGACTGCCATGTTCTTCCAGCATTCAATCTAATACTGTTTATAGCATATATGTTAAAACTCCATAAAAAAAAAAAAAAATTATTGAAAAAAATAAATCAATAGTGGCCTTAGAAGACATAACGTTATGCAGGACTGATATTCCTCGGATTTGAGCGCCAAAGGTGAAGTCAATGGATGACATCAGAAAGCATGTTAGAGCAGACTAAGCATTTATAAGGAGTCTATATGCAGGAAATAGGACTTTTTTTGTAAATAATGCCTCAGACTCCTGACATGATTAGTCACTCAGCCTCTCGGCAGCATCTCCAGTACTAAAGGGGAGGAAGAAACAGCAGAACTAATGGTGGTAGACACAACATATTTTTTTCTAACACACACCTACACATGTAATCATTAGTCCCAACTGTGGACTTGTTAGATACCGTTATATTTCATAGTATTATATTAATATTATTTTTAATATAGTCATTAACATATACTCATAAAAAGAACATATTAAAAAAAAACATTGATAACATATCAATTATATATGTACATGTTTTTTTTATAGCTGATAAGCAATAGAATGTAAGTCCACAGCACTAGTTTCCAACACAGTCCTCAATGCACACAAACAATATAGGATTTAGATATACATTTCTGTTCCAATGGGGTAAAGACAAAGCTTGTGCTTTAAGAACTGAGTTGGGAATCACCGTTTTAGAATATGCTGATTAATTTTTTTTTTATAAAAAACAAGTAAAACATGACTGATATTAAAGGCTTGCTGAAGTACCAATACTGAAAAAATGTAAGCAACATTAACCGGCGAGGGTCCCTGGTGTATAGTGATGTTTCTATTTCCATTTGGCATGTGGCACAGTTTCCAATCAGTGGGTGCTAGAATACCACTCCACACCCGCTGCCTCAACTCTCAGCCTACCCTGCAGAGCTGCTATCATAACACTTATGACCCCTTACAAACAGCCCAATAACCCACAAATGCTCACACTGATGCTTCCAGACACACAGTGTCAGGATATTTATATGGGCAGACATTTTGTGCTAAGATAGAAATTAAAAGTGTATATTGCCAGAGTCACTCAGAACAGAGCGGACTCCATTTTGGATTTCAGGCAAGACAGACACAAAAAAATTATTTCCTTTCTGTAACTAGCCACTAGCCTGAGCTAAGGAATGTATTATGTAAACAAGCCAAGTGATAAGCAATGAAGCAGGGGGTTGGAATGCTCTGTTTAAATGTTAATGGAATAGAAATAATTTTAAACACAGACACTAGTGACAGAGAAGACTAAGTAATTCATTTTACACTCTAAATTTTACAAGGTCCCATTGTAAGTAAGGAGTGAAATTGAGTTTAGAACTGTCAATTTTAGAAATTATGATCAAAGTCGTTGCCACAAAGACTGAGGCAAATGCTTTGAACTGACAGCAAATTTAAGTTATGGTAGTCATTTTAGATAAGCCAAATGACGTCAAAATCGTCATCAGGAAAAGTTAACTCTTTCCTGGATAGGAAGGTTTAGTGAGGCGAGACTGCCCTCTATGGATCAAATACCTAAATTGCGATCTGCAGGTTGACCACACCTTCAGTATCCAATTGGCCTTATCAACTAATGACGTATAGAGAGTCTGGCTCTTTAAAAGTTAGGACAAAGGGAAGAGAGAAGGTTAGTTTTTGGGCATTCAGATTTGGACATGCAGAGAGAGCCAGGACACCCTCTGCGACTAACATTCAACTCTCAAACTCTCTTCGACACAACTCAAGAAACACTCCTTGACACTTAGAATTTTACTGATACTTTCTAACCAACATCACTTTTCTCTATTACTTGCACACCTCCATACAACCAATCATACTCGCATCAAGTTCCTGGGACTACCTACTCATCTGATGAGAATATCTACATAACTTGTAATTATGCTGGTTTTATTTAATTAATCTAAATTAATTAAAATCTAATAGCATGATATATGACTGGATAAATCACGGTCAGATTTCAATAATTTAGAAATCTTAGTTAACTAAAGAATATATAGTTATAAACATTCCATTCTGCAGGTGGAATTAAGAATAATTATATATTAATGTGATATTATCACGTGTTAGCATACCGCTGTTTTTATCCAGGTGTATTGATTTGCTCTAAAATAAGATAAGATATCTTTTTAGGCAAATTAAAATTCGGCTTTTGTAAAAATCTGCTAGATTATTCTTATTGGATGGTTCCGGGAAATGATTAATGAGCTGGTTCGAATGTTATTTTAATTTAAAATCACATGAGAATAGGATAGTATATGCCTAGGAGGATCTAGCCAGCATTGAAAGGGTTACTCAGTTGATCTAACTGTTAGCCAAGGTTTTACGACTTTTTCGCTGTGCTGTGTGAAGTTTTGCTTTCTGTGTCTATGAAGTACCCTCCTAAATCGTGTAAGTCTTGACAGTTGACGCTGTAGCTTTGTATTGTCTTTAGCCATTGTATATGATGTTATATCAAATATTCACTGATTATTATCATGCATGCTGCCTAATATTATTGTTATTTTATTTGTCACAATAAATTATATGTATTTTGATAACAAATTGTGATTTTATTTGTATGGAATACATTTCACTTACATGATAATGATCTCTAAGATCTAAGAAAATTGAAATAGTGGGCAATTCTCAACTGTATAATATTATCATCCCATAAATATCCCCACAACAGATACACATTCACACACATGTACAAACACATATACATGCCAATCACACTCGTGGAGATACACACACATAAATTAATATATTTAATGAGGATCTATTTATAGCTTATAGTTTTAATGGAATCTTTCATCATGGGATATGATCAATCCATTTTACTGTTGACCCAAAACAAAAAAAAGAAAAGGCCCATGATTCCTACACACATCTTTTTCCTATTTTTCTTATTCTTCACCTTTTTCTTATTTGAGAAGAATTTTTCCAAGCTACAAGGTGCAAGTTACATACATGCATTATGTGAGTAAGGAACATCAGGATAATACCTGAGACCCTCTTATACGGTTTTGACTAATCCTGTGTTTCTTTCTCTGCCATATAAAGTCAGAAATTACTCTTTGATATTGACTCAATATATAATTATAGACTCTAGTACTGGGCTGATACTGTACTGTGATACAAGATTTTGGTTGCCTGTTTCGTGTTGCTTTGAGGAGCCCTGAAGGTGGAGCAAAAGATTATGCACCCTTGCTCAGCCAGTAGTCACGCCCATATATTAAATTTTTTAAAGATTTTATTTTACTCCCCCCTCCCTGCTTCTTACCTGGCAAGGGAGGGAGGGGATCGCATTCCCTGGTGGTCTGGTGGCTTGGTGCTCTGAGCCAGCCGCTAGACTCTGCAGAGGGGGTGCTCAGCACACAATGACTTCCCTTCCCAGCAGCTCCTGCCTCTAAATCTTGCGGCCTGGTGCCGTGCAGAGCATTGCCATGGTAACCCGTGACAACGTTCTGATGACTACGGGGTTCGCAAGATTTAGACAGGGGATCTGCTGGAAAGGGAAGTGAGAGTGTGCTGCAGGCCCCCAGCTACCTGTTTGTTGCAGAGGGGACCCGCGGCACACACTCACTTCCCTTCCCTTCCTAGCAGCTCGTGGCAATGCTCTGACGGCCGCAGGACTCGCAAGATTTAGGCAGATATAGTGAAAATCGCAATTTCTATGTATACATGGGTAATGTGGGTCCCGGAACTCCCAGAGTAGTCCGGGCCCATGACATCCGTCATTTTTGTTATGCCCTGATGGTGACCCTAGCTCCCAGTTAATCTTTAATTTAAAATTCCCTGCTTATCAGTGGTATTAATTTTGTATTAAGATCAATAAGCAAATTTCTGCACCTGGTAATATGGCGTGATGTTGTGGTTTACAAGAAGTGGAAGAAAACATACAGTGATATTTAGCATAGCTTTAAAGTTTTGTTGTGGATACAAATACTGATATTTTACACCTGAAACAGTTTCTACCAAAAATCTGTTCTTTTATAACATTTTCATGTCGTTGAGACATACCGGGTTATTTACTAAAGTGAGAATTTAAAGTAAATTCAAAGTACATTTCAAAAGTAAGGCTAAAATTGCCAAACTGGTAACATTTTCCAAGTTAGCTACGCTTACAGATTGGTTATTTTGGCCCTATATTTGAGATTCACTTTGAAGTCACACATTAGGCTGAAGTGGTGAGTAGGACCTGCATTGGGGGGTTAGGGGCAGTTGTAAGGGGCTAGGACCTTTAGTGGGTGGTTAGTAGGTGGTTGGGACCTGTAGTGGGGTGATTAGGGGCAGTAGTGGAGGGTTAGGACATGTAGTGGGGGGTTAGGACCTGTAGTGGAGGTCAGGACCTAGAGTGTTGGTTAGGTCAAATAGTGAGGGATCTTGAAAAAAGTCCAAGTCGGACTGAAACGTTGACCCTATCTTTGCACAATTAAAGGATCTATTGCATAAGATTACAAGCCCTCTGAGTGCATTTCTCTGGGACGTTGTATTGGGGCATAAAATAGCACCAAGGCAAGAACAGGACAAGAATGTGAGTGCCATGCTTATGTTGGAGATATTCTACATCTGAAACAGTTTCTGTCAAAAATCTCTGTTTTTCTATAACATTTACATGTCACTGAGATCTACAGGGTTATTTACTAAAATGAGAATTTAAAGTAAATTCAAAGTACATTTCAAAAGTAAGGCTTAAATTGCCAAACTGGTAAAATTTTCCAAGTTAGCTATGCTTACAGATTGGTTATTTTGGCCCTATATTTGAGATTCACTTTGAAGTCACACATTAGTTAATAATAACCAGAGTATAATTAATAAATGCAGTAACTATGTATCTGTAGGAGTTTACAAAGAAAAACATGTTTCTAGGCATCGTGACATATGCCAACCTGTTATCACCAACCTGTTAGCCTTGCAGGCATTTCAGGAGAACAAGACTCTCTTTGTTTAATTACCTGACAGGGGTGAGGCTCTTGTGCTAAGGAACAGATCCCAACATTTTACTGGCAACTATGAGACCGATGTTATTTTCTTGTTGATTTTATCATTTAGACATCATGTTCCAAAATTGATGGGATAACATTTTCATATTATAAGTCATGTATCCACGTTATTTACAAAACCTGTCTATGCCCTAAAAGTTTAGATGTTGTAGTGAGTGTTTAAAGGAAACTTTCAGGTTTAAGGGCGATAGTGGTTGTTAGGGGCAGTAATTGATGTTAGGAGCTAAAGTGGGGAATAGAGGCTGTAGTGGATGGATAGGGGTTGTAGTGGGATATAGGTAAAGACAACAGTAAAAAAGTCAACAGTAGGGAGTTAGGTGTTGTTGTGAGGAATTAGAAGCTGAAGTGGGGGTTACAAGATGTAGTGGATGTAGTGTGGGTATAAGGGGTTGTAATAGGGGTTAGGAGCAGTAGTGCAGGGTTAGAGGCTGAAGTGAGGGCTTACGAGCTATAGTGAGGCTAAAGTGAGTGGTTAAGACCTGTAGTGGAGGGGGGGTTAATGGGCCTTAATGGTGGATTAGGGTTACTAGTGTTTGTTAGGACTTGCAGTGGCAGGTTAGGGGCAGTAGTCAGGGACTGAAATGGTAGGTTAGGACCGGACCTGCATTCTGGGCAAGGGGCAGTAGTGGGGGGTTAGGACCTGTAGTGGGGGTCAGTATCTAGAGTGGCGGTTAGGTGCAGTAGTAAGGGGTTAGGGGGACTAGGGGGTCAGGACCTGTAATGAAGGGGGTATGGTCAGTAGTGGGAGGTTAGGAGCAGTAGTGGGGGATTAGGACCTCTAGTGGGTTGTATAGGGGCAGCAGTGAGGGATTAGGACCTGTAGTGGGAGTTAGGGGAAGTGATTGGGAAGATAGGTGCTGTAATGGCCCCCCATTAAGGGATATGGCGGGAGTTGGGGGCTGTAGTGAAATGTTAATGGATATGGTGCGGAGTTAGGGGCTGTAGTTAAGGAAATAGGGGAAGTAATGGTGGGTTAAGGGATACGGTTTGAAGTTACGGGTTATAGTGGGGGAAGGAGCAGTAGTGGAGGATTAAGGGATATGGTGGGGAGTTAGGGGCAGTAGTGGGGGAGATAGGGGCAGTAGTGGGGTGTTAAGGGATATGGTGGGGTATTAGGTGCAGTAGTGGGGGGTTAGGGGATAATGAGAGGAGGGTTACAAAAAAATATACATTTTTTTTTTTAATTAAACAAGAAAACCGAATGTTTCTTTCCCCCTCCCTGAGGCTTACTTTGGTCCAGGGAGGGGGAGAATCTATTTCCCTGGTGGTCCGGTGGGAAATGCAGCATGTCTGCACCCTCAGTGGGTGCAGGCAGCTCCTTCCAGCTGGCACCAGGAAGTTGTTATGGGTAAATGCAAATATTGTATTCCTCAAACTGTGTACTTAGTCTTTAAGAGATATTGCAAACTGGAGGCAGGGCCGGACCGCCGAAGGGATCAGACGTGCTCCGTCTGAGCTCCCGCTTTGGGGCTGGAAAAACGTTGCAAACTGAAGGCTAAACACTCCCAGCCATCCGCAACGACGACCAAACCAATCCCCAGTTTCTGGGGTACGAGGGGACACCCCCCAAGAATCTACTCGGCACCTACAGTAACCCGATGAAGGCCTGAGGCGTGCAGGAGCTTGAGCCGGGATGAGACGGCCGCTCCCCCGGGTCTCCAGCCGGTGTCTGGCGCCCCCCCCCTGGACCGGGGGTGCTATCCCGGTCTGCACAAGCAACGGCCATGACGCTAAGCTGAGCCGAATACTAACACCCTGCTGCGGAACACTCTCCGGCAGCATCCCCCAAGATGGCCGCCGAACACCAGCTCCATGTGTGACCTGCCAGCAAGAAGGAGCCTGCCACAGAGGAAACTATCCACCGTCATCTGACTACCACAGCTACTCACCCCAGGTATGTGTCGACTGCCCACACTGAGCTGACCTAGGGGATGCTAGCAATACATACCTTGAGCGGAACAACACACTTTTGTGTCTCTGGAGGACACCATCATTCCTTCTGGGGCCCGCCTGGGAGACGACAGCAATGGCTGCATCCAGGATCCTCCTGTGAGGCGCAACGCATCCATCAGAGCAAGCAGCCCGCCATCACTGGGTGTGGACTAAACAAATCCATGTAGGTCCTCTACTGCACAGTCCAATTTGAGTAGGTTACAAGATTGTGATGCAACTTACCATATACAAGGACTCTAAGAACTCTGCCATAACCTTGAACACTCAGGACTTTATGAGACCCCATACATAGGACTGACTCAGTAGCTACCGGGTACAACATAATCCCATTGTGGAAATATTATTCTCATGTCCTCTGCTACCCTGGCTAAACTCCTCTCTGCCTCCCAAAAGACACCACTTATATCACAGATCCCAGCAGGCTCAGATGGCATCTCCTTGTTTAAATTTCATGCTCGGTATTATATATGTTTGTTTAACCTTAGTTAGATGTGGATAGTATAGCAAAAAGCCAACAGGTACTGCCATAGAAATATATAATGTATGTCGAGCATGTGGCTGACATTTAAACATGGCTCACGACCCTTAATTCGCATTTAACCCTCTACAAGCTACACTTAACTCTTACTAACAAAACACTGATCAGCCTGGTAACCACGAACTTGTTCCATATTATGACCTTTAAAACAAAAATGTACAACATTTCTAACACGTAACTAGCATATTTTACTATAAGCTTCTGCGTACCAAACTATATCATTCCAATGCCTAACTAAGCGTGTTCATTCTAACGTAACGAATTTGTCTTTTTCATGTCATTTAAAAAAAAAAAGTGCCGTTTACACTGCCACACATTGTACAGCTATGAAAACGCCTGCAGTTGCTGTCGTGGCTCTGCATGATGATTGTTATTTGACGCACAAATAAAATAAATAAAAAAAAAAGATATTGCAAACTGACAAGGTGTTAGACAGGGACGGACTGACAGTGGTCTGGGCCCCTGGGCAAAATTAGGACCTGGGCCCCCTGTAGACCAATATATATGCTGGTGTATATGTACCGTGTATTTGATTGTATGTGCATGTAAAGTGAATGAATGTTTCTATGTGCATATTCACTGTGAGCCCTGGTGTAAGTCTTCAGAATATAGTTAAATACATGTTTGTTTGTTTTTCTTTTTAAATAGGGTAGTATTTTTTATGTGTGTTTACGTAGCATGGCAATATGTATAAAAGGGTATGCAGGCCTCCAAATTTTGCGTCTTAAATTACAAATCAGTTGTTAACCGTTAACACTATAGTGTCAAAAAGTAGAAACGTGTATTCCTGACACTATAGGTTTAAAAATAGACGTTTAGGTCCCAGCCCCCCCTCTCTCCCCCTTTAAAAAGGTGCAGCCTGGGTGTTCTCCTTGGTTGAGATCATCAAATTAGATTTCAGACAATCCAAAACTTTCCCATAGGAAAGCATTGGAAGGAAATTGCATATGAGCAGCAAAACGCCATGCTGCGCCAATCAGCATCTCCTTATAGCAATGCATTGAATCAATAATTTGTATGTGTGCAGGGTCAGAGTACGTGAACATATGGATATATGTTTATGAATTCTGGGTCATGTGTGTGCACAGTCTGTAAATGAAGGGGTGTATATGTACGGAGAGTGAATGTGCTTGAATGCAGGGGAGTTATTGTGAATTAATACAATAATAATAACCACCACTAAGGCTGTAGTGGGTATAGGGGCTGGGGTTAATAGGGACTGTAGAGTGGGTATGGGCTGTAGTGGGTGCAGGGAGTATAGGGGATCTAGAGGGTGCCTGGGGGAAGGACCTGTAGTGTGTGCAGGGGTTAATAGGGGCTGTAGTGGGTGCAAGGGGGTATAGGGGATCTAGAGGGTGCGTGGGGGTATGGTCTGTAAAGGGTGCACTGGGGTAGGGGCTGTAGTAGGTATAGGGGATCTAAAGGGTGCCTGGGGGTAGGAGCTGTAGTGGGTGCAGAGCGGTAGGTGCTGTAGTGGATGCTAGGGAGGTGCTGTAAAGGGGGCAAGGGTTTAATAATGACTTTAAGTGGTAAGGGGGGTATGGGCTGCAGAGGGTAGAGGCTGTAGTGGGTGCAGAGGGTATAGGGGAATGTAGTATAGGAATGGGAAAATAGGGGCTATACAGGGAGCAAGGAGGTATTGGCTGTAATATGTGCAGGTTGGTATGGGCTGTAGTGCGTGCAAGGGTATAGGGATTAAGAGGGTGCCTGGAGGTAGGTGCAGTAGTGGGTATAGGGGGCTGTAGTGGGAGCATGGGATAATAGGGGCTGTAGAGGAGGAATGGGGGGTGTTGGTTGTAGTATGTGCAGGGTGGTAGGGGTAACAGGTGCAGGGGATATAGGGATCTAGATGGTGCTTGGGGCTGTAGTGGGGTAGGGGCTGTGGTGGATGCAGGGGATGTAATAAGTGCAATGGCTGTAGTGGGTGCAGGGGGTATAGAGCCTCTATAGTGTGTCTGAGGGTAGGAGTTGTAGTGGGTGCAGGGGGCTGTAGTGGGGGATGGAATAATAGAGGCAAGTGGGGTAATGGCTGTAGTGGGTGCAGAGGGTATGGGGTCCTAGAGGGTGCCTAGGGGTAGGGATTGTAATGGGTATAGAGGCTGTAGTGGGTATAGGGGGCTGTAGTGGGGGCATGGGATATTAGGGGCTGTAGAGGGGGAAAGGAGGGTATTGGCTGTAGTATGTGCAGGGTGGTAGGGGTAACAGGTGCAGGGGATATAGGGATCTAGATGGTGCTTGGGGCTGTAGTGGGGTAGGGGCTGTGGTGGATGCAGGGGATGTAATAAGTGCAATGGCTGTAGTGGGTGCAGGGGGTATAGAGCCTCTATAGTGTGTCTGAGGGTAGGAGTTGTAGTGGGTGCAGGGGGCTGTAGTGGGGGATGGAATAATAGAGGCAAGTGGGGTAATGGCTGTAGTGGGTGCAGGGGGTATGGGGTCCTAGAGGGTGCCTAGGGGTAGGGATTGTAATGGGTATAGAGGCTGTAGTGGGTATAGGGGGCTGTAGTGGGGGCATGGGATATTAGGGGCTGTAGAGGGGGAAAGGAGGGTATTGGCTGTAGTATGTGCAGGGTGGAAGGGGCTGTATTGGGTACAGGGGGTATGGGGATCTAGAGGGTGTCTGGGGGTATGGTATATAGTGGGTGCAGGGGGTAGGGGCTGTGGTGGGTGCAGGGGGTAGGGGCTGAGGGTATGTTTATCTATTATTGATATTTGCAAGCATTTAGTTTAATTTTATAAACTCTGCTATAAATTATTGTAATGGATTGTATGTGTCTATATTTATATTTTTATATGATAAATATCTAAAAAGACAAAACTTTATTGCTTCCAAGACAATCCTTATTTTATATTGTATTCTCAATTATTTATATATCTCTTACTAACTACACCCTGTTCCAAATTATTATGCAAATGATATTTTTGTCATTTACCTAAATAATTGATGTAAATAACAGTCAGCATAATTCTCATGTTAAAGGACCACTATAGGCACCCAGACCACTTCAGCTTAATGAAGTGTTCTGGGTGCCAGGTCCAGCTAGGGTTAACCCTTTTTTTCTATAAACATAGCAGTTTCAGAGAAACTGCTATGTTTACATTAGGGTTAATCCAGCTTCTAGTGGCTGTCTCATTGACAGCCGCTAGAGGTGCTTGCGTGCTTCTCACTGTGATTTTCATAGTGAGAAGACGCCAGCGTCCATAGGAAAGCATTGTGAATGCTTTCCAATGAGACTGGCTGAATGCGCGAGCGGCTCTTGCCGCACATGCGCATTCAGCCGAGGAGAAGGAGAGCTCCCCGCCAGGCGCTAAAGAAAGAGGTAAGTTTAACCCCTTGCTCACCCTAGAGCCCGGTGGGAGGGGGACCCTGAGGGTGGGGGCACCCTCAGGGCACTATAGTGCCAGGAAAACGAGTATGTTTTCCTGGCACTATAGTGGTCCTTTAAGAGTACAATTCAAATTGTTTTGAACAAACCTCCTAATGATAACAGTATTTTTTTTAAATATAAAAAACTTACAATGCACTGTTCCAAATTATTATGCACAGTAAGTTTCAAAACACTTTATAGGTTGTAAAGAACTGAAAATTGTAATTTGTTGTGTTTGCAGCATATTTACTGAAATCAAAAGCTATTTCCATCAAACTTATAACAACATTTTAACTTTTTAAACATTTTCACAGGTCACGTTACATTTTAACATAGGACCCCTTATTTGATAGCAGCTTCACAAGTCTTGCATCCATTGAACTTGTGAGTTTTTAGACAGTTTCTTCTTGAATTTGTTTGCAAGATGTCAGAATAGCCTTCCAGAGCTGCTGTTTGGATGTAAACTGCCTCCAACCCTCATAGATCTTTTGCTTGAGGATGCTCCAAAGGTTCTCAATAGGATTGAGGTCAGGGGAGGATGGAGGCCACACCATGACTTTCTCTCCTATTATCCCCATAGCAGCTATTGATGCAGAGGTATTCTTTGCAGCATGAGATGGTGCATTGTCATGCATGAAGTTGATTTTATTACGGAAAGCATAGTTCTTCCTTCTGTACCAGGGAAGAAAGTGGTCAGTCATAAACTCCACATACTTTGCAGAGGTCATCTTTACACCTTCGGGGACCCTAAAGGGGCCGACCAGCTCTCTTCCCATGATTCCGGCCCAAAACATGACTCGACCACCGCCTTGCTGACGTCGCAGCCTTGTTGGAACAGGGTGGCCGTCCACCAACCATCCACTACTCCATCCATCTGAACCATCCAGGGTTGCACGGCACAAATGCCATCCATGAATTAAACTGAAAAACGAAATATTTAATCTTTGTGACACTTAAATAGAATTTGCATAATAATTTGGAACAGGGTGTATATAAAATTATGGCTAAGATATCTGTATGGTTAGCCCTGCTAAATTCTATGCTTTAAGACATTATAGTGGTAAATAAGGGAACCAACCGCGGTTACAAAGTGTATGAAAGCGTTGCTGCGGTAAACCACGGCAACGCTCTAATACAGTAGGAGGAGCGAGAACTTGGCCTGGAAGTATAGACCAAGTTCCCACTCCTCCCTCTCGACAACAGGGTCCACTGACAGTGACTTTTGAGGGAGAGGAGACTTTTGCAGGGCGGCTCATTCAGCAGCCGGCACTCTGGCAGCACCACCTATGCGCACACCTCTGCTGCGGTTCCCCAAGAGCTTGCACCCTAGGCCACTGCTTAAGTGGCCTAATGGAAGCGCCAGCCCTGGGTGTCCCTAGGCAGCAATGTAAGCACTGCCTTTTCTCTGAAAAGACAGCATTTATAGTGCTCACTCTGCAGGGACAGGTTGTAGAGACCAGAACCACTACATGTATAATATGCAAAAGAATTGCAGATATAATAATCATAATAAGCAATAATGCTTTTTCATCATAAATACTACAGGAGATATGAAACACAATATATAAACATTGACAGGCTGAACTGTACCCATGTGGAGCAGCCAAAATCAAAAAAAGAAAAAAGGCCTCAGATGACAGAGGGGATCCTCAGGTATTAAAAGATACCTGGGTTTTCCTGTTTTAAGCCGGGGGCCGGCTCAGAACTACCGAGGCTGGACGTGATTGCTTAGCCACAGTATTTATAAGAATTTAAGGGAATGTGCAGTTCTCACTTTGAGCACTGAATATAGCTTATCAGTGTTTTATCAAATTGTGCCTGATAAGTGCATACAAATGTCATAGAATCTTTTTGTTTTATTTTAAAAATGATCTGGATGTGTTTCCTCTTTTTCTCTTCCCTCTTGCATGCTGTGGTCAATGGAATATCATATTGTAACTAAGTATAATTAGACTGCAATCCTGTTTTCCACCTTGTTGCAAAAGTAATATATGCATGTTTTGGAACTTTAGTTTATGAAGAGGGGAGATGCTTTTCTGTATAGTTTTGTATGTTGCAAAGCGCCAGAATGATTGACAAAACAAACCCACAACCTTGGTAGATGTATGAGCGACCTGGAGAATTGACATGCAAAGACACCCCTACCCCTGCCTGGATTTTGCCATTAGCCTGAGCAATAAGGACTGGAACAATGTTATTGGAAGTGGAACATGAACAATGAGGAATGGGCTTTTTCTCTCTCTTTTTTTCTTCTCTTTGGAATGCTATGCTCAATGGAATAGTATATTGTAACTAAGTATAATTAGACGGCAATCCAAGTGTAATTAGACTGCAAGTTAACCGCGGATAACATGTTGTGGGCTAATAGTTGTCACCCTACCCACACTTTTTAAAAAATAAAAAAATGTAATTTGTATTGGAGTTTACACATACAAAATACAGCTTATTTGCATCATCATCCTCCCCACACTTTTAAAGCTATTGCCATTGGGGAATTAGGACTGAAGAAACATTGCTCTTCAATGAGAAGTTTTGGAGATCAGGCTAAGGATTTATCCCAGCATGGCTACCCAAGAGCCTCATTGATGGAGGCTTTAGAGATTCCAATGAGAGGGATAGAAATGCCCTCTGGGATACTGGCCCTAATTACAAACAGAATAAAGGGCTTCAGATGAAGGGATACTTCAAAAAGGACACATAAATGTTTGTTTTCTGTACAGTAAGCATTTCAGTTTGGTGGTGAATATTGTGTGGAGATATCTCCCCACTTTGAAACTAGATAACTTCTATAGGGACCTCTGTAAATGGAATTTAAGAGTAATGCCAGGAAATCAAAATTCCTGAAATCATTTCTTTCCCCAGGTATGTTCTGTTCTGATAATTCCTTTACTAAGCCGACATGGTTTACCTGTTTGGGCATGCACAAACATGGACTAAGTAGGTGTAGTTGCCGTCAATATGTGCAAAAACAAGAGAAAAATATTTTATATCTTGGGTTATGCGTAGGAATTGTGCAATCAAAGATTTCATGAACTGCTCAAAAGAAGTAGTGATTTTACCTGTTAACAAATTCATCAAGCAATATGTAGGGGAAAAAAAGCTCAAAATCTGGGTAATGCAGCATCTATACAGTATAAAATCTGATTTGGCGAGACAAACATCCTTATCAAGACACTTTAGAACTTGTATGTCGGGGTATGGATGTGTCCCTTTTCTCTTTCTAAGGGATACAGAGACGTAAATTTGGGGCATACTGGAATTTTACTTTACAAACTACAATGCCAAATGGGTTGATTTTGGAATGGGATTTAAATTAAGATTTTAGTCATCAATATTATATATGAGTGTTTATGTAGGGTGTTTATGGATTCGACCCCTCTGATGGTTGATGATATCGAATATATGTAAGAATGAGAATAAATTGTGAATTTTTGCCTATGCATCTATGTAACAGTAAAAACAACTCTGCGTTACTAACCTTTTTGTAATTTAGACTAATAGTTTGTATTTGAGCGCCCTATGCTATGTCACCTTTTTCTACTTGTTGGAGGATGTGTAATCATTGTTTAGCATTTGGATCTGAGACTGACAAGCTGGGAAGTCACCTACTTTAAATTTATTATTATGTAATTTAGGATATTAAAGGGACACTATAGTCACTTGAACAACTTACTGCCTAATGAAGCAGTTTTTGTGTATAGAACATGCCCCTGCTGCCTCACTGCTCAATCCTCTGCCATTTAGGAGTTAAATCCCTTTGTTTATGAACCCTAGTCACACCTCCCTGCATGTGACTTGCACAGCCTTCCATAAACACTTCCTGTAAAGAGAGCCCTATTTAGGCTTTCTTTATTGCAAGTTCTGTTTAATTAAGATTTTCTTATCCCCTGCTATGTTAATAGCTTGCTAGACCCTGCAAGAGCCTCCTGTATGTGATTAAAGTTCAATTTAGAGATTGAGATACAATTATTTAAGGTAAATTACATCTGTTTGAAAGTGAAACCAGTTTTTTTCATGCAGGCTCTGTCAATCATAGCCAGGGGAGGTGTGGCTAGGGCTGCATAAACAGAAACAAAGTGATTTAACTCCTAAATGACAGTGAACAGAGCAGTGAAATTGCAGGGGAATGATCTATACACTAAAACTGCTTTATTTAGCTAAAGTAATTTAGGTGACTATAGTGTTCCTTTAAGTGAAGCACTTATTATGAGGGAACATTATTTTTTATAATTATAATTTTGTTTTTGTTTTCAGCGGACTCTTAGTACTCACAACTTGAACTCAAAACTCTTTGAACGTGTGGTTATATAATTTTTACTATGTTGCATTTTGTAGAGGATCTTGCTTTAGTTTTATGTTTGTTACATTGTATTTTGTAGGGAACATTGTCTAATTACTAGTTTGACATTATTGTCCTTGCAATGAGGAAGTTTTGAAACAGAATATATCAATTGATGTGTTAGAATTTATGCCAGTCCTATTATAGAAGACAGGCACTTGGTTAAACTGCAGATTTCCTAACTATCACCTGATTTGATAAATGTTTCCTCGTTAAACCACGGTTCTTGTAATCGCTGCACTTAATATTGTGTAAGAGGACAGGTTTACATACATGTTTTAATTTATTCTGTTATTGATATCGGAAGTGAAATATGACATGCTGGAAATTCTGGAAAAAGACCAGTTTGGACAATTTCTGTTGGATTTATCAGTGGTCCGGTGGATAAGCGGGTATTGTGATAGTTAAAATGTAGCCAGATATTTGTACATGCTCTCATTATTAATATCAGGTTCCATACATCAAATCATTAGTAATTCATATATTTACTATATATTCTAATGGTACTCATTACTCAGTCTATTTAAGCGTATATAGGCCTATCCCTCTTGTATTTTTACCTTATTTAAAAAATACCTATTTAGAGATATTCTAAGATTGCAATTTATTGATGATTGTTTTCTATCTTGTATCCTATCTTTGGTTAATGATCCTATATATTATTTCCAAGTTGACAAATCCCAGGATTATATATTTTCAGTTAACTTTTTGAAAAAGAGATACACAAAATAGTGATTTAGTAAGAATCTGTCTATAGCAATTTAATTATTACCCTCTTTGATGGGGAGCAGAGGACTTTATCAATTAGTGTTGGGATAACACCCCTGTGGCGAAAGTGACCTCACCACTGGTTTTTGGAGGGGCCTGTTTGCTTGCCTCCTACCCTGTGACTATGGGCCCTGCAATATACCTTGCCCAATACACTTTAAAATGCTCCATTCAGGGAGCGGGGCCTGACTGCAGAGCTGTGAGGAGCAGCACCTGCAGCAAACGACAAATAAAGCTGATTTTCATCGCCAAAATTGCAACCAAACGTGATACAATAGTCTCTAAACGTGGGGTGATACCAAGAGGAATAAAATTATACCACCCAAGCAACTCTACGATTATAATCCACTCGGCAAAGGTCGAAGCAGGTGCGGGAGGGACGGCCGCTTTCCCGACGCCACACAAAGCTGACTCTCCTTTCCCCCCCCTTTGGACAGGCGGGGGTTATCCCGGTCTACCTCCACACAGAGAGCATTCACCTCCGAGACACTCCAGGGCACGACTTGCCACCGAATGCCAAACGGCCGAGCCAAGATGGCCGACAACATCACAGTTCCCGTGGGGCAACCAAATGTAAGAGACTGGGCAAAATTTGATGCCATATGTAGGTGATTCTGGCAGAGACTGGGAAGTAAAAGCCGCCCTCATGTACCGACACCGGACAAAGCGAAAATCCGGCGTTTGGAACCCCTTCACGCTACCCCCTCTCCATTGCGGAAACAGGGGACCTCCAAGAAGGGGAAAATACAGAGTCCAGACTCACCTCATGGAGCATCACGACCATACCCTGTATGGGACAATACCAACGGGCACAACAGAGGAGAGCACAGAGCTGTGAGACAGAGATCCTCACCACTGCCAACACGCCGAGTCCCTGCAGTAGCTCTGAAAACATACCCAAGCCTATCCCACCGATACGACATGACCAAGCGGAGGCCCATACAACCGGACAGCACAAGCAACGACCGGCGCATTAAGGGGCTGATGAAATCCACCACCCACTGTGTGAGAGGGCCATGCGTGCGGTCGATCAAAAAGAGACTTCCAGGAATTTCCTGAACCTCTGTTCTGATCTGCGTGATTTTTGTATATGTTGTTTAGATCAGGGCTATTAGGGGACGTGACTTTTATAGGAATATGTTGTGTTTAGGGGTACTTATTGGACTTTATAAAAACGTGTGTTTTTTTTCTGCCTGGGATAATTAAGTTAATGCATTATCTGCCTTAATCATATCACAGGCAGAGGGGTGGGTTTACGTACTGTATGTGGGAGTGTCATTCATTATCACATTGTTTCTATTGGCTTGTACACTTTGTGTCCCTGTGCCCAACAAAGTCCACCTGGGCATCACCTTTGTTGGGAAACCTGCATAAAAGGCCAGTGTGCCTCCATTAAAATTGAGTTCCTCTTTTACCCTCAACAAAGAGTCTCATCTCATGTGTGGAAGAAAAGGCTGTAACTACCCTGGGGATTGCTATATCACTATACTCCCCTGGGATTATAATCACTAGCTATTTTAAGAGCTGTTCCTGCTACGCTTTCTGAAGTAGGAGAGGTTCACCCACTGGAAGCTGGATCCTGGTCTTGGGTCCAGGGTGGGTGGAGGACGGTGAGTTCCCAGCCAAGCTGGAACGCTGGATGTGGGGACTGCAGTGCTGATGGTGTCTGATGGAGTGCTTGGAGTCCTTGGTGAGCACTAGGAGCATCCATCGGCAGAGGTACCCAACCGGGGTACAGGAAGCTCCGTTACAACCCCTTTCTTGCCTTTTAAACATGACGTATGGGAATTGAGTTTATGTTGATAAAGCATCCATGCAGGGGATTCGGGATGTGAAACGCGTTCATATCTATACAGCATCAATGTTCTTTTTTTCCCTTCTCTTCTCTTCCATGCAAAGATAATTAATTTTTCTTTTTTGGTATACTTTTATCTTTGTAATCTTCATCTAGCCCCTCTGGTCCCCTCATGCCTCCCTAAATATAGTAAATCTTACTTGTATTCAAGTCTGGAGTTGCTTGCTTTGTTATTGTTTCCTTTAGACCTGCCCACTGCCTGCAGAAGTGGTAGCCTAATCCAATCACAGTGCTTTCCCATAAGATTGGCTGAGACTGTGTCAGGCCGTATCTGTTCCGGCCAGTGGCGTACACATGACCCATGGGGCCCCGGTGCGAAAATTTATCCGTGGGGCCCCCCCCCCCGCGCGGGCCGGGCCGCAACACATGGCGGTGGGCACCTGGTCGCAGGGGTTACAGGGCTGCGACCCCTGCGACCGCGGTATGTACACACACTTAAAGGACCACTCTAGGCACCCAGACCACTTCAGCTTAATGAAGTGGTCTGGGTGCCAGGTCGAGCTAGGGTTAACCCATTTTTTCATAAACATAGCAGAGAAACTGCTGTGTTTATGAATGGGTTAAGCCTTCCCCTATTTCCTCTAGTGGCTGTCCCATTGACAGCCGCTAGAGGCGCTTGCGTGCTTCTCACTGTGATTTTCACAGTGAGAGCACGCCAGCGTCCATAGGAAAGCATTATGAATGCTTTCCTATGTGACCGGCTGAATGCGCGCGCAGCTCTTGCCGCGCGTGCGCATACAGCCGACGGGGAGGAGAAGAGGAGGATCGGAGGAGGAGAGCTCTCCGCCCAGCGGTGGAAAAAGGTAAGTTTTACCCCTTTCCAGAGCCGGGCGAGAGGGGGTCCCTGAGGGTGGGGGCACCCTCAAGGCACTATAGTGCCAGGAAAACGAGTATGTTTTCCTGGCACTATAGTGGTCCTTTAAAGGACCACTACAGACACCCAGATCACATCAGCTCAATGAAGTTGTCTGGGTGTCAGGTCCCTCTAGTTTTAACCCTGCAGCTGAAAACATAGCAGTTTCAGAGAAACTGCTATGTTTCACTGAGGGTTAATCCAGCCTCTAGTGGCTGTCTCACTGACAGCCGCTAGAGGAGCACACTGAACGTCCATAGGAAAGCATTGAGTAATGCTTTCCTATGGGCGGTTTGAATGCGTGCGCGGTCGCATTCGGAGCTGAGAGGCTGAGGGATCCTCAGCGCCAAGGGAGTCCGGCGCTGGAGAAAGGTAAGTGCTGAAGAGACACACACTCTCACTTACAGACGCATACACACTAGCTAACAGACACACACATTTACTGACAGAGATACAGTCAGCGACAGACATACATACACACTCACTTACAAAACATACACTCTCATTGACAAACACACACTCACTAACAGACATCAAACAGACTCACTAACACACACACACTCAGTAAGACACACACAGTAACACACTCACTGACACTCACTAGCAGACACACACACTAACACACTAACACTCACTAGCAGACACACTAACACTCACTCTAACACTCACAACACTCACTAGCACTTACTCACACACACACTAACACTCACACACACTAACACTCACTCTACTCACTAACACTCACTCTAACACTCACACACACACTAACACTCACACTAACACTCCTCTAACACTCACACTCACTAACACTCACACACACTAACACACACACTCTAACACTCACTCACTCTAACACTCACACACTCACTCACTCACTCTAACACTCACTCTAACACTCTCTAACACTCACTAACTAACACTCACACTAACTCACACTAACACTCACACACTCACACACACTAACACTCTCTAACACTCAACACTCACACTCTAACACTCCAACACTCACTAACACTCACTCTAACACTCACACTACACACACTAACACTCACTCTAACACAACACTCACACTAACACTCACTCTAACACTCACACTCACACACACTAACACTCACACATGATTTTTTTTTTTTTAATATAATCCCCCCAGCCTCCTTACCTCTTGGGATTATTCCCTGGGGTCCAGTGGGGCTCCTGGGCGGGTGGCCGGTCGGGCAGGCAGGCGGGCGCGCGAGGGAGCACTCAGTGCTTCCTCTTCAGCTCCCTCGCGCGCCGCGTGGGGAGGCCGGCGCCGGAAGATGACGTCATCTTCCGGCTCCGGTATCATTGCGGTGCGCGAGGGAGCTGAAGAGGAAGCACTGAGTGCTCCCTCGCGCACCTGCCTGCCTGCCCGACCGGCCACCCGGGGTCAGCAGGGCCAGCCTCAGTGGGGCCCTGGGGTGGTCGGCTCCTGGGCCCCCCAGGGGAAGAGGCTGGCCCTGGGCGTACATACCTGGTCGCAGGGGCGGCCGGGCCCCCTGGTGGGCCGGGCCCGGTCGCAGTCGCGACCCCTGCGACCCTGGTATGTACGCCAGTGGTTCCGGCGTTTCCGGTATGCGGAGCCGGCCCTGCTCCCTTTCTGACGCGGCTCTCTTACACTATATAGAGAGACCGCGCCAGATTCAAACCGCTCGGTGATTCTCGGACCTACTTCCGTATTCAAACGCCGGCTAAGCTCTTCTTTCACAACGTTACCAAACCTTTGACTATTATAAAGGATTTTGCCTTCTCTGTACCTCTGACCACGGATTGTATTGGAGTCTCCTGAAAACTGGACTGTGTATATCATTCATCCCTTGGCTTCAAGCTATACATTCCCATGGAGGACAACTCCCATCAATCTTAAGTATACTAATTACTCTGATCCCTGAAGACGTACTTACTAATGAACTGTTTCTTGCTTGCTATAATCTTCAGTTACTTCCTAATGAATTGTTACTTTGCTATTCCCATGTAGGACAACTCCCATCAATCTTAAGTATGCTATTCACTTCCACCTCTGAAGATTTAATTACTAATGAACTGTTTCTTGCTTGATATAACCTGCAGTTATTTCCTAATGCATTGTTATTTGCATGCTAGAATTCTCAGTTACTAAAATATTATTGCATTCATTAAGACTTCGCTTTCTTCACTAACTGCCTGCAACCACCACTTTGCTTTAAAGCTACAGTATCCTTAATAATTCTCTGCTTTCTTGCTATTGTAATTAAAGAGTTCTACAAGCTGCAGTTGAGTTCCAATTCTAAAACCCCTTGTAGCATAACAGACTGCCAAAGAGGCAGATCAGGGGCAGAGCCAGCACAATTCAAACACAGCCCTGGCCAATCAGCATCTGCTCATAGAGATTAATTGCATCAATGAATCTCTATGAGGAAAGTTCAGTGTCAGCATACAGAGGGAGGAGATGCTAAGTGTTTGGATGCATTTTAGTCAGCCATGACCCAGGAAGGATCTCTAACAGTCATCTGAGGAGTGGCCAATGAAGTTATCACTAGGCTGTAATGTAAACACTGCATTTTCTCTGAAAATACAGTGTTTACAGCAAAAAGCCTGAAGGGAATGATTCTACTCACCAGAACAAATTCAATAAGCTGTAGTTTTTCTGGTGACTATAGTGTCCCTTTAAGCAAATATTATTATTTTAAAATTCTTTGTTTTCAGTGCAATATCAGTGATACAGACACATTTAGATTTGCCATAACAGCATATACTTAAGACATTACAGTGAACATGTCAGTATAGAGACTCGGTGAGAGCAAGCATTGCACATTTATTAAATATAGTGGGCTGGGTAGTTATAACGAGATGGCCAACTTTAATAAAGGTAAATTCTAGGGCAAGATATGATGGCATTTTGTTTCAATTCACTAGTGGTGGTGTATAATCTATATCGGAGTTTGCTCTTTTAAGCCGCCTGTTATGTGAAATGGCGCTGCTAATGGTGGGGACCTGGGTCGCTGTAATGCATAACTGTCAGCGCTGTATATCAGCAGGCATAGGGGTAGTCTCGCTTTTGTCATTTAAAACACATATATTGGTGCTGCAGTGGCGCAATTGAAAATTAAAAAAAGAAAAAAAAAGGAATAGAACATAATATATATTACAGTAACATAGTTGTCATATGAATAGAAGCCGCTCTATAGCAAAAAGACACATCAAAGCATAAATGTGTAGGGCTAGTTCTGGGTGTTAGTTTGGTTAGCTATCGGGAAGTCATCTATATGAGGGCGAAGGGTAATTTGGAGCATGTGTGGCGTTGTATGTGCAGGACTCTGCCCGTAATGGCTGCCTAGTGTGGCTTTGTGTCCAGTATAGGCTAGGCTTGTGGTGTTGAGTATAATGCTCCATTGTTTACTACGCCCCTTGACCCTGGGGCACTAGGAGGGGGGATTTTTTATTGGAGTGTAGAACAACCGTCATAGGGGCGGTTTACATTATCCTATTCTAACATTCGGAAAACAAAACTAAAAAGAAAGGGTTTTGTGTGACTGGTCATATTAAAAAATAAGAAACTGTGGCCTGTGTTATTCCTTGATTTGGCTCAGGTTGCGGGGCTTCGTCCCTCTCTGGGCACTAAAGTGGGGATATCCTCGTCGGTCCTTGAGGGAGGACTGGATAGTCCTGGCGCGGGTAGTGCCTGTGTCAAGAAGCACCATGCTGCCAGCAAAGAAGGGCCATCAGCTGGGCCTGATGCCTTGTATGTTTTCCTCTCCTTGATGACCAGCAGTGATCTAGGAGTTGACCATCGGTAAGGCAGTCCAGCGGTTTAGAGAAGTGTAGTGATGGGCTGCATTCCTTTGCACCATAGCATGGTGGATCTACTTAGGCCCTGAAAGAAGGAGATGTGGCTGGATTTAAACTTGTATGGTGTCTTTCCTTTAAGGGCTGCTAGCAGGCCCATTTTGTCGGTTAATGTGTAACACCGCAGAATGATATCCTGTGATGCTGTGGTAGGGGCTTGTGGGGATTTGGCTATTCGGTAGACCATGTCAAAGGTAAAGTATTTGGCCTGTCTTGTAGGTATGTGAGTGGACACCAGACGTCTAATGAAGTGCGGCAGTTCTTCTAAGGGTACAGTCTCTTGAACTCCTCTAATTTTAATATTTTTCCTTCTGCCCCTGTTATCCAGTAGGCTGATTTGATTAAATATAGTGGCGTGTGTTGATTGCAGCTGTTGCATCTGTTTGTTCAGTGCAGTTAGATCTTGTTTTAAGACAAGCACATCTTCCTCTGTAGTTTGGGTGCGGGCTGTCACTGCTTGAACCTCTGTTTTAAGCACTGGCAAGTTTGCTTCCCACATTTGTTGGAGGTTTCTTTGGAGGTTGGTTAGGTATCTTGTATGTCTCCCTTTGTTGCAAGGGCCGCTTCCTCTGACCTGTGTGGGGTGGCTCTCTCTATTTTAGTCGGAGCCTGGTAGCGAGGTGATTCCCTGTCATCTGACTGCTGGGCCTGGGCCGTGGCTGGCATTGGTGTTTGCAGCATCTGGCCTATGTCCCGTTGCGTGTTAGAGGTGCTTGCTATCAGTTTCTGAGACCTGCGCCTCATCTCATTTGCTGCAGGTGAGTCCAGGGTCGGGCCGATCAGGCCAAGGTCGCTCCACTCTTTGAGTCCCCAGTCCGCAACGAGTGGGTGTCCTTAGTTGGGGTGTGAAAGAAAGACATAAACGGGTTCAGCGTGATGCCCGCCACAGAGATCTAGCTCGCCCATGGTTGTTAAGGGCACGATGTGGTCAATATTTGGCAGATTTAGTTACGATCAGTTGGAGCTGTGAAATACAGTCGACTGCTCCAGCGCGCTGTCAGTCTCCCCCCCCACCCCCCATGCAATTATTTTTTAATGTGAATGACTAATGCTTTTAACAAACACAAAAATCTAAGGTATTTTAAAACCTGTGTAATTAACACACACTTTGCTATAATTTAACATTCTGCAGCTTTGTTCAAGAGTGGTTGTGATTTTTTTTTTAAATAAGTGCTTTCAATAAATTTAGAAACATTATAATCATTTAACTAATATCGTCTACCAGAAACAAATATAAAAGATTTAATTTATATTGTTATTTTGGGATATCTCCATGAGATTTTTTTAAATGCTGGATTCTAATTTTCCTGTAGAATTCAAAGAAGGAATTGCCATTCGGTAATCGCAGTAAACCTTTACTCTGCTAAGAGACTCCAGCCTTAAGAGTGTAAGTTTCATTGCATTAGAAATATAATAATATATTATGATATAATATAATAATATGATATATTAACACATTCTCATTTATCCAAACCTTTTATAGTCATATATGTAAAAGTAAGAAATTCAATGTGAATATAAGCATCCAAGCTGATTTGGAGAATTTTTCCAGTTTTTCTATTTTAAATTTGAAATTCACAACAATTGTCAGTTTAGTTAATAACCCTGCCAATGTGGAGTGCAGATATTGGCTGTACTAGTTTTGGATTAAAAATAATAAGCACCGTGGGTGTGGTACATGGTGCATATTTCTTAAAACATACTTCCTTGTTTCAGTAGTTCTGATTCAACTTTCCTGGAGAAAAGGTAACATTTGTTTGCATGCAATTCATAGAAATATTGTATTGCTTATGGAATTACAATAGAGCACATTAACATACAGTAGATTATCATAGCTAAATTCAAATGTAGTATTTACTTCTTATTACTTTAATTCATGGGTGAACTAACTTACAAAGAGTATAACGTTTTCTTTAGTATCAGCATGCAGTGCTGAAATGTACTCTATGTAATGTACTCTAATGTACTCTAAACTGCACCAGTAGGGACCAGTTTTCCTTTTGTTTCTGCAATTTAATTAACATACATTGATGGATACCATAAGTAGACTAAATTCCTTTGACATATTTTAAGTTAAAAAATAGCTTGGAATGACCCTGAATGTTTAAAGAAAAACTGACTTTCTAAAAACTGATATTCTTTTCATTCAATGATTTTAATTCAAACTGCTGCAATAGCACATTATTAATGTGCTCAATAGCATACATACATACATATATATATATATATATATATATATATATATATATATATATATATATATATATATATATATATATATATATATATATATATATATATATATAGCTCAAGATATTGGGGGAGATACTGAGGTTATTAAATAACACCTGAAACTGCAAAATTTTGCCATTGTATTAAAAAATACATTTGAATGTTTTTTAAATACAGTTTGGGTTTAATTTTAGATTAATATGGGCTTTTACAATATTTTATTTTATTAAGCACTTTTTAAGAGGGCAGTGACAGAGCAGAAAAAGTTATTTTTTCAAGTTAGAAGAGTGTTTGCATATGTATTGTGAATTAAACTCCTCATTTACTTAGAAATAAGAGGATTATTAGCAGGTCTGCAGAACCCCAGCTACATACATGTAATCTTTACCCAATGCACATTGACTGACCCAGTATGATGGATGTTGGTGTAACTCATAGTTATTAAAGGGCCAATTTGATGCATCTTATTGCAATTCACTCCACACATTCTACACACTGTGAAGGGAGGAATAAAGGAGCTGATTATGATTGGATCTATTTTTCCAATTGTTTATTTATTAGAATAGTTTTTTTCCCCACAGTGGGTCATTAAATTAGTTTGCCCAAAATAATGTATGTGAATAATATGGGTCTATACAAGTTAATTCATATAAATTGTAATTAGGCATGTGCATGGGAAAAATTTTGGTTCGGTTCGGCATTCCGAAATACGGGACTTTGGCAATTTGGCACTTCAACACTTCGGAAATTCGGGGACTTCGGGACTTATCTTGCAGCCGCTTAGTACGGTATTAGGGAGTTATCTATCAAAAGTCTGAAAGACCTAAATTGGTCTTTTAGCCAAATTTACTAATACTAAGTACAAATTACTTAGTATTAGTAAATTTTGCCCCTACTCACTATACAGCCCCAAAAAAGGCCAAATAAAAAAATCCATAATAACCGATGCAATAAAAAAAAACAATAAATAAACGACCGCAAAAAATAATAATCCATCTTCATCCATGGAGGGCTCCGCGCAGACTTATAAAGCCTTGCCCCGCCCTGCAATTAGGCTCAGAGCACTCTGATTGGTGGGTTTAAGCCATCCAATCAGAGTGCTCTGACAGGTAAATGAAGAGACTGACAGGTAAGTCTCTACATTTACCTGTCACAGCACTCTAATCGGTTGGCTTGAAATCCACCAATCAGAGTGCTCTGTGTCATTTTACACAGCGTGGAAAATTTCTTTGGAATTTCCCCACACTGTGTAATTTGACTTATAACTCTCTGATTGGTTACTTAATCCACCAATCAGAGAGTTATGAATCAAATTACACTGTGTGGGAAAATAAGCCTTCCCCCGCCCCAGAGGAGCTCAGTCTGCGCGGAGCCATCGCAGGGTGAAGATGGATTATTTTTTTTGCGCTCGTTTTTTTTTTGCGTTGGTTATTATGGATTTTTATTTGGCCTTTTTTGGGGCTGAAAAAAGAAGATTTTAGAAGAAAGAAAACATTGAATGGTAAGTTTTATTTTTTTTTACAGGTTTTTAGTTAAAAGTCCCCCCCTCATTATTTTTAGGGTGAGGGGGGAGGTAGGGGGTTATTTTCTTAAGGGGGGGGTGACTAGGCGTTTGGGGACCCCTAGTCATCTGGGGGGGTAAGTGGTAACATTTTTATTTAGGGCCCCCACCCGCCGCTCAGAGGTCGGGGGGAGGACAATAGGTCCCCCCTATTGGTATTTAAGGGCCCCCACCCCTGAGCGGTTCTCCATTAGGTTCTCCCCCCCTTATTATATTTTAGGGCCCCCACCCACTGCTCAGGGGTGGGGGCCGGGGGGGAGGACAATAGGTCCCCCCCTTATTCCAATTTACAGCCTCCACCCACCGCTCAGGGGTGGGCACCAGGGGGGAGGACATTAGGTCCCTCCCCCTTATTCCAATTTAGGGCCCCCACCCCTGAGCGGTTCTCCATTAGGTTCTCCCCCCTTATTATAATTTTGGGCCCCAGCCACTGCTCAGGGCTCACTGTTTACGAGACATGCCCCTACTCGCGGTATAGCGAGTAGGGGCATAATTTACTAATACTAAGTAATCTTTACTTAGTATTAGTACATTTGTCTGAAAGACCAATTTAGGTCTTTGAGTCTTTTAGTAGATAGCTCCCTAATACCATGGGAATTAGGGAGTTATCTACTCATTCATTCCTGTCATTACATTGACTGGCTAAGTAACTTACATTTTATATGAATGTATGTTACTTGATTGTTGTAAGTGTTGCAAATGCTTACAGCTGGATCCTGGCTATGTTTGTATACTTTTTATTTAAATTTGTATAGAATGTAACATTCTTCTTCTTTCACTGAGTAAGTATATTAGTACTTAGGCAATACTGTACTTTGGCACTTTGACACTTCGGCAATTTCGGAACTTCGGGACCTCGGCACTTCGGACATTCGGAAGTACCCGAATGTCTGAATTGCCCAAAATTCATCCGAATTGCCCAAAATTCGTCCGAACTGCCCCGAAATACGTCCAAATTCATATTCAGACCGAAATGAATTGCACATGTCTAATTGTAATTCAGTTGGATACTATGTCAGTATGACCACTATTAAATATGGTAAATGCTCACGCAGTTTAATGAACTAAATTCAACACATATGCTGCTGTTAATTCATTAATTCAGCATTCATCAAATAAGTCTCCCTGTGTGGATGTGCTAATAAAACCAGTCCCTGCGAGGCATAATCTCCTAGAATATTAGGGTTTGCCTGGTATGTAATTTAAATAATATAACACTGTGTCATTTCAAAAATGTTCTAAATATTACCATCAAAACATGACTCACAACTGTGCCTTGAAGACAGGATTTGGCTAGCCCTGCCCTAAGGCACGAGGTAATGACATGTGGGCCTTCAGGTGTTGCAGAAAAAACTCCACAGATCCTCTGCCATCTAGTGGTAAGTTACATAGATGTTGGTGGTGATGGACACCTGGCTATATGGATTACAGGTGCATCACTTAGGAGAGCTACATTCCTGTGCTTTACCATATTTAAAAACTCAACATTTTGCTTGGCATCTCAGGGTTTTACCCAACATAACACTCTGAGCAGCATAACACTACATCTTGTTGTTGTGTATATATTGCCTAGAGCAGGTGTAGGCAACCTTTGACACTCCAGATGTTGTGGACTACATCCCTCATAATTCTCTTACACCCATAATGCTGGCAAAGCATCATGGGAGGTGTAGTCCAAAAACATCTGGAGTGCCGAAGGCTGCCTATGCCTGGCCTAGAGTGCCTGGGTGCGTTTCCCCAAGGTTTATGTCAAACTGTAGAAGCCAGTGAGAGGAATGAATTAAAGTACTAGCAACTGGAAATAGCAACTGCTGCTCAAGATGACGACTAACAACAATCTCAGGCAGACAGGGGCCCACTGATTGTCAGTGAGGTGTAGCCGATACCTCTGTAGGCACAGCGAACAAGGAGTACACATTTAATATTTAGCTGATACATAATGGGGAAGGGTATATTGTATTACACTTTTTAAATATAACCTGTTTAAATAATTGTATGCTTGACGATCAATGTTCTTAATAAATGTTCTTAATAAATCACAACACTGATCATTCATTGATTTAAGAATATTTTTATAATCCTTATATTATTATTTCAAATTTCTTGTGGATCAATTTTAATTTCAAGTTTTGCAAAGGCATACAGAAGAAGGTTCATTAGCACAAATGTGCATTAGAGATAATGCAGAGTGTAGAGGAACAGCTTATCGTCTACCCAGTTTGACCGGGAGCTCATTTCCCTGTCCCCCCAGGCAGTGAAAGGTGTGAGCAGCTCCCTGTCAGAACAGGTTGAAGATAAAGCCTTTCCCCTACTGCCATCTGCAATATCACACTACAGAAGCGTGTGGCAAAAGGGAGAAGTCAATCTTGGGAAAACCACCCTCGTCCTCCCTTAGCTAGTATGGCAACAGTACACTCATATACTCCATCCTTCCACCGGTGCACTCAAACACAATACATTTTCTTATTGTAGCACCTGTGCTCCAGGCAAATTATATAGATATAGAAAGAAAGAGATAAGGTAATTACTAAAATATAGATGGGGAGTGTGGTTATAGAGTGGGCTATTATTTCATTAAGATATTGCAATGGGTATTGTAAATATGGCTTTTGGAAAAATGTGGAATATGGGCCTTTGGATATGGAATGGGAGAATAATTAGAATAAGGAAATTTAGTTTCAAGCGAGAAAATATGGCAAAAATATTCAGTTAGAGGACTTATAGCTTTATGTGATGCATGATTGTGCTGCATGGCTGTGCAAGCACCAGAATGGACATTGTCGTTATATTTGATCAGAGATCTCCCTCCCCAGTCCGCAGGCACTGTACTGGCAGCCGACAGGAGAGGGAGGGAGAGAAGACCCGGAGCTCAGTCTGCAGCTCCTCCGGGTCCTTCTCTCACGAGCACCGAACATTGCCGTGGGTTACTCTAGCCCTGGAGCTACGGGCTACAGTTCACTCTCACCACTGGGACCACCAGGGATTCCCCACAAACCACCAGGGATTGAGAATTGTATTTATTTTATCAAATAAAAAAAAAAAAATTATTGAAAAGCCTCCCTACCCTCCTTCCACCCCATACACACACTGCCCCACATACACACACTGCCCCCCCACACACACACTGCCCGCCACACACACACACTGCCCGCCACACACACACACTGCCCCACACACATACACTGCCACCCATACACACACTGCCACACACACACTGCCCCCACACACATACACTGCTCACCAATACATGCATTGCCCCACACACACTGCCCCCATACACACACACACACACACACCCTGCACACACATACACACATTGCCCCACAAACATACACTGCCCCACAGACACATACAGTGCCCTAGACACACTGCCCCCCCATACACACATTGCCCCACAGACCCATACAGTGCCCCACCATACACACATTGCCCCACACACATACGGCCCCCCATACACATTGCCCCACAGACACATACAGTGCCCCCATACACACACTGCCCCACAACACACACAACAACCCCCATACACACACTGCCCCACACACACACATACAGTGCTCCCCATACACAAACTGCCCCCATACAGACACTGCCCCAATACACACATTGCCCCCATACACACATTCACTGCCCCATACACACATTGCCCCCCCACACACATACAGTGCCCCCATACACACACTGCCCTGCACACACACATACAGTGCCCCCATACATACACTGCTCCCCATACACACATTCACTGCCGCCCCACATACACATACAATGCCACACACACATACAATGCCCCAAACACACATACACTGCAACTCTCACACACTGCAGGTCACACATACACACACACACTGCCCCACACATACACTGCCCCCTAACACACACACACTGCAACCCTGACATACACTGTCGCCCTCACGCATTCACACACACACTTCACTGCTCGCACACTACACCCCCCCCACACACACACTGCACCTTTGCCCTATATCCCAGCAGAGCCCAGTTCTTAAACGGTTTGACTACTTACTCTGGGATGGGGTCCTAGCACTACTGGCACCATAACTACTACACTGAGCTGTAGTGGTTATTGTGCCTAGATTATTTTTTTAAAAATTCTACAAGTGCCCCTTCTGAGATCAGGCTCTGGATGTGCCACTGTGTGTGTCGTCCGGTTACTGGGTGGGGAATGGTGTGTCGTCCGGTTACTGGGTGGGGAATGGTTTTCTCCGTACTATAAAGGGTTCTCTTCCAGGGACAAGACGTGGCTGAACCAGGACAACCGGGCGAGTTATCAGCAGGCCCGCTACAGTCTCTATTAGCTCTTCTTTCAGAAGCTCACTAGTATGTTTATACAGAGTTTCTTACTGATCTGACAAAGGCTGGCTGCTGTAATAGCTTGTCTGAGGAAGTGCAACAGTTTCTCAAACTGAATATCTTCTTTTTATATTTGTTAAGTATATTTTGTATCTAGTACATTAAAAATGATGTCACTCTCTGAAGTGTCCTTTAATGAAGACTAATTGTCATACAATAAATTTTTGTGCCCATTTATAGTTCTATGCAATCCATAGAACCACTAAAATGCTTAATTGTTAGACGTGAAAATATACACGTATGTTGCTGATGGTTGCAAAACGTGTATTAATTTCTCTGCTTTAGGGGATTATCTTCAATACAGTATGTAATTGCTGTTACACCTAGTCACTCTGGCATTGCTAATTTCTGTGGCAACAGATTTTAGATAGTGTTCCAAACTTAGGCAACCAGTAACCTGTTATATTGCATTCTGCTATATATACACAACATGTTAATTAATAATTTAAGAGTTATGCAAACTCAACAAGCTAAATCATGTTTCTTAAATAGCTTGGGGATTTTTTCTAGAATGTAATATTTAATTATAGGCTATTGAAGAGTACTGGCAAGCATTGTTCTAACCCTGGAATTGAGGAGAATTAATCATAGACTTGTGCAGGGCAAAAAAAACATTGATTCTTCTGAAACACTTCAGCAAGAATAAAATGCATTTGCAGAATTTAGTTCATGCTGCTGTATAGCTTAGATAGATTTTTGTTCTGGAAGTAAATCTGGAAGGGAGGACATTTGAACAGCCAAGCAAACAACAGGAATAAAGGGGACTAAGACTGTGCTGACATTTAAAACAGCTACAGTATTGCCATTTCCTAATGGGTACGCAATGACAGCGATTTTTGCCATGTTAATTCTGAGTTGCCAAACTTACATTTATGTATCAGAAAAAAAAAATGATAGAATTTAGCTTTATAATGATTGATTGTAATCTTCTGCCTTTACTATCTTGTATCAAAGAAAAATGTGGTGCAGGAGTAATTTTTAAGTAAAATATAAAAGGGGGATTTATCTAAAAAATGAAAGGAAAAAAAATCAGTGGGCAATTGACACCCTCTCACCGCTCCCACCCTGACAAAAACATAATTTTCCCACACATTCAGTCTATAACCTCAGTGACCATCCTTCAGCATGGAATAAAACAGTACTCTATCAGCTTCTCCCAACTGTGTCTGCAGATGTAACAGGCATCACAAGAGTGCTCACCACAATGAAAAATGGGGAGCAACAGCAGGATACATTAAATTGAAAACTAAATTGTATTCACCACACGATTTTAAAAGGCTTTTACAAATATAGAAACAACTTTGAAGGGAGAGATGAGTGGCCAATTAGATCTCAACAACAAGGAACTGATGACACCTCAAGTATTAAACTGAAAAGCAGGGTGAGATTGGGAGATTGATCTTGAATTTATGAGCATTGTGAATTCAAACTGGTCTCTGTAACAGAAAAAAACTTGCTCATTTTGGACAGACACGGAGCAGGGCGCACACTCTTCATACCATCACATAGCTCAGAGTTTCTTCACTAGGAAGCAAATTAGGTTCTAAATGCATTACTCTTTCATAAGAGAAAAATTAAGTAAGTTGAGCACTTAAAATTAAACAATGTAGGGGGGCAAAGATGGAATGGTCGGATATAGACACTGCTCCAACACAAGCAGAGTCTAAAGTGGCAACAAAAGCAATCAGTAAACTGATGATCCTATTGGTATTAGGCGGAGATGGCATGGAATAAACCAAGAATGCACAAACCAAATTAAATCCTTATCTTCTACTGGAATCTGCCAAAAAAAACTGCATTTGATGATGCTTTGTCATTAAAGACATCTTGGGTGAAGGACCAGGCCACAGAGCATGCTCTTTTGGCTGAAGCCTTCCTGGATTTGGAGGCATATACAGTCAAGATGAAAGCCATACTGCAAGACTTGAGAAAGGTTTTTCAAACCAACATTTTTAAACTCAGTAAAACAATTTAGGTAAGAGGACCGACACACTTGAAATAAATGTAGACAAAGTGGTACATTCCTACAACACATAATTTGACATACACGAAGGCCTGGTTACAGAAGTAGCTCACATGGAATATAAGTTGATATTGGAAGGCCAATCAATCAGATGGCATAGCAATACAGTTTCTAATGCTGACTTGGAAGTGTTTTTAAAGGAATATACATAGGCGTGCGACCTGGGTGTGCCCACAGGCAGGGAGGGAGGCAGGAGAAGGGTAAGAAGGGAGGGGAGCTCTAGCCAGCAGCTCCGCCGGGTTCCTCTCACGAGGTTGGAGCGTTGCCGCAGCATCACTCAGATCTCGCAAGAGTGAACTCTAGCCCGGCAGGCTGGAGTTCACTTACCACTGGACCACCAGGGATGGCAGCAGTACAGTCCCCCCTCCCTACAAAAGGTAAGAAGGGAGGGGGGCTATTAACTAAGTGGTCCCCCAACCCCACACAATACACACAAACAGCACCCTTACACACATCACCCTTACACACACAGCACCCACACACACACAGCACCCTTAAAGCACCCTCACACACAGCACCCTTACACATACACACTAACAGCACCCTCACAAACACACAGACAGCACCCTCACACATACAGCACCCTTACAAACACACACACATACACACACACACCACCCTCACAACACACACCACACAATTACACTCACACAGCGCCCTCACACACAGCGCCCTCACACACAGCAGTGTGTGTGTGTATATATATATATATATATATATATATATATATACGCGGCGTGTGTGTTTGTGCTTTAGGGTGCACACCCTTATGCAATAGGCTGCGCACATCTATGGGAATATATATAGCACATATTACCAGAATTTAACATAGAGGCCTTACACAGGTGTACATGGGCTCCCAAAAAACAGATCCTCTCCAATGGGAGTCCCCAAAGACCACAGTCAGGATTAAGTTTATACACACTGTGAGCGAAAAAGTGGAATAGTGGTTGATGGAAGATACATCAGGCCTGATTTGCTAAACAGCAACCAAGAATTTTCAGTTAAGTTTGCAATCTACATTGCTGGTGCTCTGCAAAACATGGTATGGGTCCCTGGGGCGGAGTATTTGGAGAGCAGGGTGGGCCAATGCTCCAACAGCACTAATTGCTGTGTAACAGACCAGAATTTGGATCTGACTTAAGAGTTTACTAATTGGCACTCACCTGGAGCTAGTCAATTAGCAGACAGGCCTTTAAAAGAAGAGATCAGCCTGCTGCAGAGTGAGGGAGAAAAAAGAAAAGGAAAAGGAAAAGGAAAAGGAAAAGGAAAAGGAAAAGGAAAAGAAAAGAAAAGGAAAGAAAGAAAGAAAGAAAGAGCGAGCCAGCTAGGAGAGCTGAAGGAGAAAGAACAACAATTGTGTTTATTGCAAATCCATTTCTTTTTTGGGGGGAAAATTGGTAAGTGGGAAAGCCACCCAATTACAGATAGTGATTTCTGTCTAGTAAGAGCTCAAGTAAGAGCAAGGAATTTTGTTTGTTTATTATTATTAAAAGCACCTGCTTTCTTATAAAATAAAAAGAAAAACCGAGCTGAATGTGTCCTGGACTTTGTATACCCTAGAAGGCTGTGGTTACTGCAAGATCTGTGACAATCCTACCTGTAAAAGAGGTGGTTTGTTACAACACAAATTGCTCCTTTTTCAGGCAGTCAAGGGAGGAAAAGAGTCCCAGACTATAACCGAATCTTTCCGTTCAACTATAACTGAATCTCTCTATGCCATACAGGGCCGGCGCGTCCATAAGGCGGCACAGGCGGCCGCTTTAGGGCGCAATATTTCAGTGACTGGCAGGAGGGAAGCTCTCCCTCCTGCCAGGCCACCATCTCGACCCCTGGCGCAGCAGTGCTGTGATCAGGCGCGGCGAGGGAGCTCTAACCTATCTGCTCTGCTCCCTCGCGTGCTGTCTGCTGATGCCGTGGGAGCCGGAATATGACGTCATATTCCGGCTCCCGCGGCATCAGTAGGCAGCCCACGAGGGAGCAGAGGATGAAGATTAGAGCTCCCTCGCTGCGCCTGATCACAGCACTGCTGCATGCCTCCCAACAGCCCCAGGGACAGATCCATCATCCACACCAGCTCTCCAGGTAGGGAGGCTGGGTGGAAAATGTGTATTTATAAAATAATTAGTGAATGTATGTGATGTGTGTCTGTGAGTGACAAAGTGTGTGTGTCTGTGAGTGACAGTGTGTGTGTGTGTCTGTGAGTGACAGTGTGTGTGTGTCTGAGAGTGACAGAGTGTGTGCGTCTGTGAGTGACAGTGTGTGTGAGTGACAGTGTGTGTGAGTGACAGTGTGTGTGTGTGTGTCTGTGAGTGACAGAGTGTGTGTGTCTGTGAGTGACAGTGTGTGAGTGACAGAGTGTGTGTGTCTGAGTGACAGTGTGTGTGTGTGTATGTGAGTGACAGAGTGTGTGTATGTGAGTGACAGAGTGTGTGTGTCTGTGAGTGACAGAGTGTGTGAGTGACAGTGTGTGTGAGTGACAGTGTGTGTGAGTGACAAAGTGTGTGCGTCTGTGAGTGACAGTGTGTGTAGGTGACAAAGTGTGTGCAACTGTGAGTGACAGTGTGTGTGGTTGACAAAGTGTTTGCGTGTGTGAGTGACATTGTGTGTGAGTGACATAGTGTGTGTGTCTGTGAGTGACAGAGTGTGTGTGTGCGTGTGTGTGTGAGTGCGTCTGTGTGTGTGTGTGTCTGTGAGTGTCTGTGAGTGTATGAGTGTGTCTGTCAGTGTATTTGTCAGTGTATGAGTGTGTGTCTGTCAAATCAGTGAGAGTATGTTTGTCATTGAGTCTGTGTGTGACTATCAGTGTGTCTGTCAATGAGTGTCAATCAGTGTGGGTCTGTCAGTGTCAATGAATGAGTGTGTGTCAGATCAATGAGTCTGTGTCTGTCAGTGACGTCTGTGTGTTTGTCATTGAGTGTGTGACTGTCAGTGTGTACAGAGTGTAGTGGAGCAGAGCGCGGTACAGGAGCTTCTGTTTCCTGTACCTGGCCAGACTGACAGGAGGTGCTCACAGAGAGAGCACTCCCTGTCAGTCCGGCCGGGTACAGAAAACTGAAGCTCCTTTAGGGGATCTGCTCCACTCGGCAATGCAACAATAGAGGTAGGAGGCACACCAGGAAGGGGAGTGTGACCACTAAAGGGGTGTGGGGTGCACCAAGGGACAGGGAGGGAATGGGAGAGAAACACCAAGAGACAGGGAAAATAGGGGGGAGGGGAGAAGAACACTAAGGGACAGGGAAGGGAAGGGACCACTAATGGTCAGGGAGGGGAGAGGGGCTGGTTAAGAGGCACATAGGTGAAGATGTTATTTTTTTGGGGGGGGGCAGAAAAATGCATCTTCGCCTATGTACCTAAAAATCCAAGCACCGGCCCTGATGCCATAAGATCCTCTATCATTAAGACTATGCTTACAAACTACTAATTACCAGAAACAATGATACCGAGGGACGCTTCTTCAATTGTGTGACATACCCCCGCCTGCCGGATCAGGCTGCCCCAATGCAGCAAACAAGGTAGCTAAACAATGGGTTAGTTAGTACCCACTCCAAACCAATCTCATCAGTCACGGCCATTAAGAGTGGTGACATAAGTATCACTATTATAGTCATTCTATATCTTTCAAGTGTTACCTATCAATCATAGTTTTTGTGGTTTGTATTTGTTTGGTTTTTTTACTGCAAGGGTAAAATGTTAATCTCCTTTCTATTACTTCTAAACCAGTTCAGATCAAACATTACATGGCTATACAGACGGTTGGTCACAAATGCATCTTTAAACATACCTGTAACGGACACCACTGCCTATAACGGATATACCAAAAAATTGTCCAAAGCAATAGTTTTTTGGTGGATAGTATCCTTTTAGGTAGCAAATAAGTTAAAGTAGTAAAATTCTAGATGAAGCAGATGAGTCCTTTACAAGTATGCAAATTCTTAAAATCCCTTGATGTATTCCAAAATATAAAACAAGAAGAAGCAGAAAACACTCCAATGGTGCAATATATTAGTATTACCAAGGTAGAAAAAATAAGCTAACAATTGGTTACTTGCACTTTGTAGAGCTATGGCGAGCTCTAGCGTATTGGATAAGATCATTTGCATTTCATAGTTCAATATAATATCTAACATTTTACATACCTAAATTATGTTTATGGTTATATTTTTCACTGCTTGCACCCTTGCACAACACACAATAGACTGAACACACTAAATAAATTATTAAAAAAATAGGATTTTCTCTGTACAAACAGTTAAACAAACAAACAAACAAACGTTGAACAACTGTATATTGATAACTAGTCCTACACTACTAGAAGCAGTGATCCAGGCTAAGAGAGAGGAACTTTTGAGGAATAAAAAACACTGAACAAAAATTTAACTTAACAACATTAGGAACAATGAAGAATGTAATATCCTATCTCTTACTCATAGTTGTTTAACCCCTTCAGGACGGAGTCAATAGTACACGTTCTGATCAAAACAAAATGTAAAGAAAACCTGGACTTTGCCCTATATGTCTGTTCAACAGTAATTCAGCTCTTCCATATTAAGTGCACCCACACTTATTATATATCAGTTTGTTCAGGAGAAACAGGGCTTTACTTTCATATCAAATATTAATATATGAAGCATAATTTATTATGAATAAAATAAAATAAACTTTTTTAAAAAAAATTGTAGTTCCACCTCACATTTTAGCTGTAAATGTCATAGTACTGTTAGCTTTTACTGCAAAAAAAAAACACATATTTGGATTCAGCAAAGTCTCACGAGTACAACAGTAGCTCCCATTAACAGTTTGTATGGTGTTTTGGGAAGTTACAGGGTCAAATATAGCACATTCCATTTTTCAGTTTTTTCAAATTGAAATTTGCCAGATTAGTAATGTTACCTTTGAGACTGTGTGGTAGCCCAGGAATTAGATTTACCCCCATGATGGCATACCATTTGCAAAAGTAGACTACCCAAGGTATTGCAAGTGGGTATGTCCAGTCTTTTGTAGTAGCCACTTAGTCACAAACACTGGCCAAAGTTAGCATTCATTTTTGTTTTTGTGTGAAAAAAGCAAAAAAACTAATATTTGGCCAGTGTTTGTGATTAAGTGGCTACTAAAAATGACTGTAAATACCCCATTTGCAATACCTTGAGTTGTCTACTTTTGCAAATGGTATGTCATCATGGGGGTAATTCTTATTCCTGGGCTACCTACGGGCTCAAAAGGCAACATAACCAATCTGGCAAATTTCAATGTGAAAAAAATGTAATGCAAGCCTTATATTTGACTCTCTAACTTTCCAAAACACCATAAAAACTGTACATGGGTGGTACTGTTATACTTAGGAGACTTCACTGAACACAAAAATAAGTGTTTTAAAACAGTAAAACGTATTGCAATAATATCGTCAGTAAAAGTGCAGTTCGTGTGTGAAAAATGCAAAAAAATTTACTTTTACTAAAAATATAATTGTTGTAATACAAGTTACCATTTTGAAACACTAATATTTGTGTTCAGCAAAGTCTCCCAAGTAAAACAGTACCCCCCATGTACAGATTTGGTGTCTTGGAAAGTTACAGGGTTAAATATAGTGCTTGCAATTCAAATTCTCTGCACTTTCTGCCTGGGTTGTCAGGCATGTCAATCAAATTTTTATAAATTAAATCGCATAATTATGTTAAAATATTACTTAAATATACACGTAGAATTTTAATATATATACATATATATGTATTTAAAGTCTACATGTATACTTATGTAGTTATTTATGTAATTATATATATTTATCTGTTTATATATATTTGTGGTTATTTGTATTTTATATATATATAGATATAGAATGTCATTCTAAGTGTATTTTGTTACCAATATATACATATACAAACACACTGCACCCCCTGCACTAACACACAAACACACTGCACCCCCTGCACTAACACACAAACACACTGCAGCCCCTGCACTAACACACTTCACACACTTCACACACTGCACCCCCTGCACTAACACACAAACATACTGCACCCCCTGCACTAACACACAAACACACTCTATACAAACTACAGCCCCTGCATTAACACACAACACACACTCTATACCCCTATATCCACACTACACCCCCTGCACTTACATACAAACCCACTCTCTATACCCTTTATATACACACTATACCCCCAGCACTCACCTACACACTCTGTACCCCCTAAACATACACTACACTCCCTGCACTTTCATACGTTATGCCCCTTTAAACACATACATTACATCCCCTGCATGCAAACACACTAATTTATATCCCCTATAAATACATATTCCGCACCCCCTGTACACACTACACCACCTATGCATACATCACCGCACCTATACACATGTGCTCTACAGCTCTTATATGCATACACACACTAGAACCCCTAGATACACTCACAAACACACAGTAAAGCTCTTTACATGCACACACTACATCCCATAGGCCCTCACACTCTACAGGCCCTATATAAATACACACACACAGACACACAAACACACACACATACTTTACAACCCAGAAACACACACTGCAGCCCCTAGCCACATGCAGTACACCATAAACATACCTCCTTACACACAATACAACACAAATAGTCTGTTTTACACACATGCAACCTCCAGGCGCGTGATATTAACATACTCATTTGGTGGAGGGGAGGGGGTGTGCATGTCAAAGGTGGTGACATGACACGCCCCCTTTCTGACCCCACCCCTAGTAATGGGCTGCTCTGCCTTTAATTGCCCGGGCTGAATTTTTGTCCCAGTCCGGCCCTGCTTGTCATTGTGCTACACACAATTTTCTCTATCAAAAAGTTAGTTCAGAGGCTTAAAATACTGGTCTGAATAACCAAACACACAATTATTGAATCATAATATTACAGTTTTGAAAAGGAAAAAAGAAACAACTATGACTATTTTCCTTATTATTCAGGTGGTCTGACCATGGCATCCGTAAACAAGAGTATCAACACATTTTCACTTAATCTTTACAAAGAACTGAGCAGCTCTAACAATGAGAAGAGTGTTTTCTGCTCACCTATAAGCGTAGCATCAGTACTGTCAATGCTGAACTTGGGTGCCAGAGGAGACACACAGAGGCAAATAAAGAAGGTAAGTAAATCTCTTTGCAAAACTACGTAGCACTAATGCACAGAATTAAAGGAACACTTCAAACACCAAAACTACTACATCTAGCTGTGGTAGTTATTGTGCCAGGAGTTCCCTGATGCTCCTCATTGAAAGTAGGCAGAGTTGGATGTTCCAAAACAGTAACTTCTGTTGGCATTCCTTAGCTCTTAAGCGCTTACCTCATTGGCTAGGACCATCAGGGATCATTAGTAATGAAGTTAAGGAGCGGCACCCAGCAAAGCCCAGGGAAGAAATCAAACCATTCAAAACTAGCTTGACTATTTGCAATGTGGGGCACCAGGTCACCCCAAGCACCACAGTGATAACTGTAAGTTGATTAATGTGTTTTCCTTTAATAATTACTGGTTATGGATTGACTTTGAAATAAGTGTGTTAGAAATGAATTCTATTTCCATCCTGCCATAAGAGACAAACCCACTAGAGGAGAAGAAAGGAAAAATTTGCCAAAGGAACACTCACAACACTTCTCCAGGTCCATCTAATTCAATCACCTCATGCTAACAAACACCCACTGGGAACGGCTGACATGTCTGCTGTAATGAGTCTTAAAGTAGTGTTAAATTAAAGCCTGAAGTTAGGAAAAGAGTCAAACTCAGTCCTTGTAGAGTCCTTTTTAAATACTGAATGTTTTCAGTCTTATACACCTTTTTAAAGGGACACTATAGTCACCTGAACAACTACAGCTTAATGTAGTTGTTCAGGAGATATCTATAGCTCCATGCAGGCAATCTAGATTTTCAGAGAAAATACAGTGTTTACATTGATTGACAGGAATACCTCCAGTGGCCGTCACTCAGACGGCCACCAGAGGGACTTCCTATCATGTATGGCCCTAAAAAGGCCATGTACATGTCAGACGTATTAAAATACGTCTGACGTGTGCAGGTGAGAGAAGGCACTGTGTGCGTGCCTTCTCTCTCCTGCCTGTCAGCAGTGGAAAGGGGGCAGGCAAAGACCGTGAGCTGAGCTGTCAGTCAGTTCAGCTCGCGGCCGCGCACACCGCGTGCATTCGCAGTAGTGCCGCCCTATGAAGTATGTGCACATGTGCGGAGAAGCAATGATGCTTCCAAATGGAAGCGTCCGATTGCTCCCTGCTCATGTCCGCCTATTTTGTCATTTGGACGAAATAGGGGGCGCGGCTTCACGAGGCTCCCGGCGCTGGAACCAGGTGAGTAAAAAGTTCTGCCTGGAGAGTCTCTTTAAACAATGCTTTTAAAATACATCATGAAAACAAGTTTGGATAATTTCAGTATTTCCATATTGTAACGGATCACCTTGCACCCCGACTGGGTACCTCTGTTGATGGGTGTTTCCCGAGGGCTCCAAGCGCTCCACTTGACACCATAAGCACTGCAGACCCCACGAACCGCCGCAGCTTGGTTGGGGTCTCGCCGTCTCCTACCCACCCTGGACCTACGACAAGGCTCCAGTGGGTGAACCTCTCTTCCTTCAGAGAGCGAAGCAGGAACAAGCTCTTAAAAGAGCTTAGTGATTATAGCCAGGGGAGTATACAGCGTATAGCAATCCCCAGTGTAGATGCAGCCTTTTCCCCCACACATGAGACGAGGCTCTATGTTGAGGGTAAAACCGGAACTCAGCAGTCTGAGGGTTTATTGTCTCTTATATACAGATTTTTCCACAAGGTTACCACCCACGTGGACCTTGTGGAACACAGGATACAAAGTTACAAAGCCAATAAGGACAGACTTGTACAGTTAGACACGCCCAGATAATGTACACAAACCCTCCCCTCTGCTTGGGAGATAATTGAGTAAGATACTGTAATTAACTCAATTATCCCCAAGCAGAAAAAAACAATTTTTTCACAAAATACAGAAAACACCCCAAAACACCATGTATCCCCATAAATTATACATCACTGGATAGCCCTGATCTAGGTTAACAACATACCCAAGAATCACCCAGATCAGAGCAGGGGTTCAGGAAATTCCTGGAAGTCATATTTGACCGACCGCAAGCATGGCTTTTTATGCCCAAAACAGTTCCACAGATTTAGGCAATGCGGCCAGTCTATCTCCTGCTCTATCCTGGAGATAATTGGCTTAAGTGGCTGTGGTAACTTAATTATCTCCAGTAACAGGAACTATCTCTAAGTCAAAAACTGTTACAAAAACCACATAAATTTACAAAACTCTTATAATACAATGTTTAACCTATATGTCCAACATATCCCCATAGCTTGGATCTGAGCGCTCAATATGTCCAGTGTTAAAAGTGCACTATAGTACCAGTAAGGGTGGGGTCAGAAAATAGCAAGGGCTGATGGGAGATTGAGGAGGGACAAAGCAGCCTGTTTCAACGCCCTGCTGGAGAACAATACGACAGGAAAAAGGGGGGCGGGAGGAGGCACAATCCAGTAAGACCAAATAAACATTTTAGCATGTCTTTTTGCAGGGTCCATAATCCTGAGGCAAAAGGCTGGCAAACAGGCCCCTCCAAAACCCAGTGGCGAGGTTATTTTCGCCACACATATTCTATTCTATTTTCAGGAAACAAAGCAAAGGTAAAGAAGGAATCCCCCAGTCATATATTTCTGTTGAGCCAGTGTGCAAAACAGTCAATGCTGCCTTTGTTAGGAAGTGTACAGAGTGACATATTCTCAGACACATTGGGATGACACATATAGCTGATGTGGCCTCCAACAAAGCAACTCTTTTAAAACAATCTATACCCACATTTAAAGGCATGCTCTTGGCACTATAACTACTTTACCTCACTGAAGATTAGATTAGATTAGGTTGTCTCTAACATATGATAATGATAGGAACTGCATAATTGGTGTTCTGCACTTTTTACTTGTTTCCCATATGACAATGAAAAGTTAAAATGGTCATGTCAAAAACAGATAATTCACATATAAATTCAATATACCGAAATTGACAAAACAATATAATAATAATTATTATTATCATCATTATTATTAGTAGTAGTAGTAGTAGTATTCCAGCCCTAGTTGACAAAGGTGTAAAATCTGGTTATGTGTACCAAAAACCTGAGTAAAATTCTTCAGAAGTGAAAGGAAAAAAGGAAACAGAATATTATGATCTTTGAAAGAACTGCAAATAACTGCAACATGTGTTAGTGCGTTATATGTATGTATACGCAGTGTTTTGATAATTACAGGTTTTGGAATTTGGTGAATTTACTGAAGCGAGAGTTAAACCTCCCAATCGATGTGAAAATCCAGCCCAAGGCATTCAGCAAACGCAGCGAGTTCAGAAGCAGACGGTAATATCCCTTTAATTTAATACAATTAATATTACATTTAATAGCGTTCTGTAAAAACAATATCAGTCATTCTTATTGTGAATAAGAGCAATAGCAATGTTAATATTTAACACTTTATTATTTCACTAAGTTATGATAATGCTAATAAGTGGGCATGGTGAAAAAATAAAATGTAATATAAAACATACATATCAGTGAAGCATCTGTTAGGGGGGGTTAGCAATAGGAGTTCTGAAGACATTTATAAAGAACTTGACCTTTAACCCCTTAAGGACACATGACATGTGTGACATGTCATGATTTCCTTTTATTCCAGAAGTTTGGTCCTTAAGTGGTTAAACACGTGGTTTATTTCGACACCTCCAGAATTAGAAGAGTATAGAAAGAAGCATTTTTACAGCCATGCAAATGAAAGAAACACAAGTTATAGGAATACAAGGCTGTATTGCCTCCCCATGGCAAAGGAAAGGTTAAAAATCCTTTAAAACACTTATCCAACTGCAGCGCGAAAGGGAACCTAACATGCATGCACCGGTAGTTGCTGAACGCACATTAGTTCTTCCCCATAGGAAAACATTGAATCTATGCTTTCCATTGTGGTTTTTCCACATAGGGTACTTGTATATAATTTTTTTGTTTTAATACAAGGATGTGCTTGTATATAATGTTTGCGTTTGATTGTAGGTGTGTTTGTATGTAATATTTGTGTTTGTATGTTGTGCTTATGTTTGATTGCTTGGATGTATGCACATACACTGCCACATACATACTTACACAGATATACATAAACAATAGCACACAGAAACATACAAGTACAGTGACACATGCACACAAATTCATATTGACACTAACAAATACAAACACATAGATACACACACTGACACATACACACGCATACACCATCATATGCACACACACAAATATAAAAGAACAACCTGACACAGATACACACACCCTGACATGCACACTGACAAATGCACACACACACACTTATATATATATACATATATATATATATATTGTGATAAAGTGAAGGCAGATAGGCCTATAACATTTAGCCCCAGGGTGACTATGTGTAGTAGGTGTTGTAGGCAACACAAACCAAAGTTTAGTTATGGGCCCCCGGGGGTGGAGCGTTTGGAGAGCAGGGTGGGCCAATGCTCCACTCCACAGTTTACATACAACTGGGAGAGATAAGTTCCAGGCCAGAGTTTTGATCTGTCTCCAACCCACTGCTCAGCTGCAGATAATCAGCTGCAGCAGTGGGAATTAACCCCTTCCTGCTAGGCAGGTAAAGGAGAATTGCTGGCTTCCTCACAGGAAGCAGGTGGGAGAGACGCTGTTCTATATATATATATATATATATATATATATACACATACATTCACACATTGTGTTTGAATGAAAGCACATTTTTGTATGTAGCATGTGTGTGAATGCAGGTGTGCATTTGTGTGTAGTGTATACACTTCCACACACACAGATACAGACACACATATACACAAACATTGACACAGAATACAGACACAGATACACACACTGACACAAAAGAGCACAGATATACACATAGACAATGCTGACACACAGATACACATAGACATTCAGGACACATACACACCCACTGACACATGTACATACTAACAGACATACACATTGACACACCAATACTGAAACAGACACACACACATATGGACATACAGATATACACATACAGACATACTGAAACACATACACACAGACATACTGACCACACACACACACACGCAAGCATACTGACATACATACATAACCAGCTGTCACTTCCTCACAGCAGTACTTGGGGCTGCAATTTTTTAAAGGGGCATGGACCCGATGGGCACTATTAGCATGCGGGCCCTGGTGCAGCTGCACCGGAGGCAGTTAGCTTCTACACGTGGGGCTCGGGCGGCCGAGTCCCCCGGGACTGCCGGGCCAGTGAAAACCGTCATGGGTGCCACTCCCTGATGGCAGCCCTGCACATAAGCACATATATGTGATATTTGTTTACATCTACAGCCTCCCTCCTGTTGGCCCACCTAGTGTGTCCAGGGGGTGGCTTGCTTGTAGTTCTGTTCCTGCTGTTGACTGGTGAGAAAGAGAGGTCTGTAGCAGCTCTTCGTGCTCTTTTTCCACTATTCTCCCCTCATGCTGCCTCTGCAGCTGCCTCCTCTCCGTTCCGTGCTTCCACTTCCCCCCAGCCGGCCGACATTACAGGGGCCCAGTTGCAATCTTAAAGGGCCATGGCACCTGTTCAGCATAAATGTTTACCAGTGCTATCATAGCACTGGTGAAACATTTTGTGGTGCCCCTGTGTGTCCGTTGTGGCGTGGCACACAGTTTGGGAACTGCTGGTCTATAATCTCAGCAAGAATTAACTACTAGCCAGACCGGAGTAGTTGCTAAGTAATATAGAATGAGATAGTTCAGGATAATACATTCAGTTGTTACCTTTTATTGCAGCTCAGTGTTGTTTGATTTGATTTTAATGTCTGATTAGGTGGCAAACAGATGTGTCCAAAAAGATTTTTAATCTGATATTTAATTTGTCAAAAAAGTAAACTCATGTATACCTTTTTATTTTAGCATGACTAGAGTAACAAACAGTATCAAAAACCTGAACAGTTTAAAATGTATAACTTTCATTAAGGACTTGTAACAAGTAACTAACAAACTGACATTATTTGCAAGCTATATTAAGCAATATCCTTTTTGATAACGTAAACCACAATTAATTTCCAAATATTAGATTTACCAAGCAGAAATATTTGCAAGTCAGATACAGAGTCCCAGAGAAAACGGTCAGATTTAAATAGATATTATAAAAGTAAAACAGCAAAATGAACCTTCATGAAAGCAAACAAAACTCTCAAAGAGGAAAAGATAACCCCGGTCTGTCCACAATTAAAAGCTCTTTTTGTGCCTTCAAGAGTACCTAGCTATGAATATATGACTACATAGACTAAGTTTCCTATGAGACATACACATATCTAGAGCTGACTGCCTACTAAAATCATGTAAAAAGTGTGATCATTATATGTCACTACCCAAATACAAAATAATTAAAAATCACTGTTTAGTAGACATACCCATATGAAAACATGTATGCATTTAATTATGCATTTTTACATTCGAAGTATGTCTAAAAAAGACTTGTAAAGCCTGCCTTTTTCTTGTCTGCTACCTTTGCAAACACTCCCCTTCTAATCCCACCCAGATTTTATGTGGCTGTCCAATCACAGACTTCCCAATGCAGCTCAATGAGAAGTCTTTGCAAGGCAGGTGCTCTGAGCAATTGCTGCCTCTTGAGTTTAGCTCCACTGAGCCAACGAATCCAGGAAGTAACAGAACCTGTTGGCTACTTGAAAGCCAAGGGGTGTAACCATCTTAATTTACAAAAGTGTCAGTTTCTATTGAAATCTGCACTTTTTGCTAAAAAAAAAAAAAAAAGACACTCTAAACACATAAAGCTTTATAGCAAGCTAAAGTTGTTTAGGGGTTTAGCCTAAAAGTGAATAGAATATGGAGATGCAGAAACAAAGCCCTGATGCACGTTTCACATACAAGTGGCTCTTCAGAATAACCTCAATTGCATTATCTAACCATACTACTTGATTAACCATTATTTCATTTTTGTTACATTATAATAAAACAGTCATTTAATATTGGGTAACAGAAAAACAACTTAGCTCACAGTGAATTTGTGGCAGTTGCTTTACTGCAAGCTTTTCCCTAGGTATTGCATCAGGAATTAAATTAATGAAGTGTTATTTCTATAATAGAATAGGTGTGTCTATAGAATAGGTGTGTCTCTATGCTAGCAGGCAATTGAGAAATAAAAAAAATACAGGCAGATTACATCCAACATATTATTCTCTCAACTGTGAATGGTAAACTAAACAAATGATCTTTGTATTCATACTTTAACAAGATGTAGGGATTGCTGCCCGGTATTGAGAAAGAAATACAATATTTTCTGAGTGGCCAATGATGCAAAAAAAAAAAAGCCTGTTTCCAATGGTTATTTAGACATTGATT